GGCCCTGGATTGGCTATAATGCTTCGAAGTTTCCTCGAAAGGTGGATCCCATTCGCCACTTTAGAGTTATTTTGACCAATGAATAGCAAGCACAATGACCTCAGCCCGATTCCAGGGCGATGGCAGCGCCAAATTGTGTTGGAAAATGAAATCGCCCTATCTTGGCACAAAGGTAGCTGGCACTTTGGAGAGCACAATTCGCCAAGCCGCGTTGCCGTGCGGACAGTATTGCACTAGTAGCATGTCAAATCATTAAATATGGTATGTGCCATATATAGCACATTTTGCCACATATAGTCACGCCCAACAAGTTCCAAGTCGATCGGATCGCCAAACATGGTTGAAAAATGAAATCGCCCTACTTTGGCACAGCGGTAGCCGACGCTTTTGAGGACATAATCCACTAAGTTGTGTTTCCATGCGAGCCGTATTACTAGAGAAATAGGACAAACAGTTAAACGTGGTATCCGCCACACCAAGCCACGTTTTGCCACGTTCGACTCATCACATACTATTTAGATAATTTAAGATTACACTATATACGATACTATATAACATTATTTAATAGCCTTCAATAAAGTTTCGACTTGTGTGGGGCAAGCGACCAAGCTGCCCATGACTCTTGCGCCGCCCGAGACCGTCGTGCCGGACGATCTCCCGGTGCAGTTCCAGGCCGCCGTCAAGGTCCAACCGCATGTACAGGCCCGTGATCTCAGCGTGTCGGTCCATGTAGAAGTACGTGCAAGGCAAAGGCAAGACCAAGAAGACACGCCCGAAAAAGCAACCTCGCCTGGCGCCGGAGCATGTAGCCGCCACGACGTCGGCCGCGCCAGGTACGCTAGCTCAGCCACGCAGCTCGCTAAGTATCGCTCTATGTCTAGACATGGAAGCCATTCTCCGGTGCACATGGGCGCTGCAAGAGCCCCTCAACATGGAGCCGCTGCCGAGCACGACGCTTGTTGGCGTCATGAGCGCGACGATGACCTGCTTGTTCGAAACGCACCAGGCGATTCCGCTTGCAAGCCTTGTTGGCGCAAAAGACGGTGACGTGGCAATACCACCGCGCACGAGGATCCAGGCCGCCAACGGGCACCCGATCTACCGCGTCCTGCTTGGGATCGCGCGTCGCTGCGTCTCGATGGTCTGGTGTCGTCCCGACGCCGAGTCTACGTTCAGCGACCTCATGACCATGCTCATGACGTGGATCGAAGCCGACGGGACGACGTGGGCGTGGCTCCTGGCCTTCCTCGGGACCAATGCGACGCGACCACTGCTTGAGTACACGCTCCGAACGATCGCAACGCGTGAGCCACTCACGATGTCTCTATCTTGAGCTGAATTTCCGCGTAGACGGCGCCCAGACGTCGCCAAGCCTTCTCGCGAACCTCACGACCTTCCTCGTCCCGACGTACCCGCTGTACATTGCACCGGCTGTCGTTGCCGTCGTCGCAACCGCCTCGGATGAGCACCTCTGCCTCCTCCTGAGCGTCCTCCGCGAGTGCCCGCAGCTTGTCCTCGCTTGCGATCAACATTTTTCGACGGCCCCGGCCGACACGCTGCAACGCCGCCTCGCGTCCCCCGACGTTCGGCGCCACCTCCTCGACTTGTGTACGGCGCGCGCCGCCGAGCTGGTTCGAACGCCGGTCCAAGTCATTGTTGCGCTCGAAAGCCTCGGGCCTGAGTGCCCCTTCCACGCCGAGTACCTCGCGTATCTCCCGACCAACGCGCTCTTTTTCCGTCGCACGATCGAGTCGCTCGCGCACCTCGTGACGACGCTGCCGGCCAATGACGCGCCGTCGTCGTTCCATGTCTACTTTTGGCCACTCGTCGCTCGCCACGGCAGCGCTGCGCAGATCCGAGAGGTAGAAGAATACTACACTGCGTGGGCGTCAAGCGTGGCTGTAGGTTTGTAGCGCACTGCTGCACCTACCCAGCGGCCTCGCGCGATGCCAGCAGCTGCTGCCGCACTTGCCCCCGGCATCGATTGCGAGCATGTTAGACCTGCTCGCGTCCCAGCTCTCAGCTGCGCACCCGCACCAGACGCAGCGCGCCTTGCGAGGGTTCATCGCGCTCGTACCGCCGAGCGCCGACGTCGAAGAGCCCGCTGCGCACTCGATCGTCGGCCAACTGGACGCGCTCGCGGCGTGGAAAGCGAGCTCAGGTGTGGCCCACTGGCACGCTGTACTGGCGCAAGCCCGCAGCGCGGAGGACGCGACGTCCGACTTGGCGCTCTCGGTGCTCGAATCACTGCCGTACCCGACGCTCGAGGACCCGATCTGGCAATACACGTGCATCTACGCCCTTTTGCAGCTCTTCTTTCGCCGCCTTGGGAAAGAGCGGCCGGTCGCCAGCCTCACACGCGTGCTCTCGCGCATCATCGCCGACGGCGGCGGTGTCGCAGCGTATCCCGCGTCGGTCGCGACCACGTTTACGTGTCTCTTTGTGGACGCAATTCTGAGCGCGCACGCGCCGACGACCATTGCGCACAATGTGCCGCCGGAACTCAACTTTTTCCAGCCGGACGACCGACCCGTCTCGGACGCTGGCCACGTGTTTCGCAAGCTCTCGGCAGCCAACACGCTGCGTCCGTACGACCCGTTCCCAGTCGACAGCACGACCAAAGACGCGAGTCGCGAGGTGTCGACCACGGTGCTGGCGCAACTGCAGCTCGGCCGCGCCAAGTGGGTCGACGCTGCGCTCCCGGCGCCGTCGACGTACGATGCGACGCTCCAGGGACTGCACAAGGAGAAGATGGCGGCCGCCGTCGCGTGCGGTATTGAGGCCAAGGCGCTGTTGCTGGCGACGCAGCCAGACTGGAGCGGCCTCGTCGATCTGCTCGTGGAGCGCATGCTGCCGGTCGCCGTGTTTATGCCGGCCGATGAACAGTACCGCGTACGTTTATGCATGCCAACGCTGCGTGAGCTGATCGTATGTCTAGGACGTGCTGCCCGAGCGCACCAACTTTGACGTGGATCTGCGCATGGAGCAGTGGTTACTGCACTACCCGTTTGTGGTCTCGCTCCTCGAGTGCATCGTTGCGTACGGCCCGCCGCATGCGGTGTTGCGCTGCCTCCCGCTGCTCAAGAGCCTCCTCGTTGTGCTCATCAACTACTGGCACGCGCGTCGACACCAGCGCCTCGACGACGTCCAAGACGATGGCACGCCGCCGTATCTGCACATGTCGCACATGCTCGCGGTGACGTTGGAGGTCATGGCGGTCATTGCGCAGACGCAGTGGATCCCCGAGCCGCTCCAAGGCTGCGGGACGCTGTTCCCGCGTCTGACACCGCTGGACATTCGATCGATCCTGCACGCGCTGTGGCTCTACCTGAGCGACCACCCGCCGACGCGCCACGCCCGTGAGAACGGCAACATGGAGTACTACCTTATGCCGCTTCAGCATGCCGTGCACCGCAACATGGCCGCCATTGGACCTCTCTACGCCCAGTTCGCCTTGCATTAATAATGCTACATTGCATCATCTATCAGCTCCGTCGCGGCTACTTGACCTCATGCGACGAGGCGACCGGAAGGGTCGCTTCACGTGGCTTCAGGTGGATGGAAGAGGGAAGAGAAGGCGGCAGTAGCAATGGTGATGAGCAGAAGCTTTGGAAGCTAGTACGACATGGACCTGCAAGATCGTGCGAGATGATTTTCGGTGGTTGGAGGTTCGCCGTGCGTTGAGCCAACGGTCCCAAACTGAGTCCAGTCCTTGGCTGAGCGGACCCTCTGCAGGATAGTAAGTCATTCAACAACAAATGCATAAGCTAACCTGCCATGGACTACCGGTAGAATCATGCTACACGTTATGAACACCCGTCTCGCGACTTGAAGGCAACTTGCTTTGTCGAACGAGAAGCTGCTACACGGCGAGATGCTTGTCGGCTGCCATGCCGGTGACTAGCTACCAGAACCAGAACTAGCTACCAGAATCCGCTCTTGTACCAGAACACTCGAGCTACCAGAACTCTCGACCAGAACGCGCAAGGCGTGGTGGCACTGACAGTCGTCGATGGGAGAGAAAGGCGGTATCTTCGGAGCGACAGGACCATCGTCGCTGATTGGCTCGTGGTTGATGGGGTTGGATGTGATTGGCGGGCGCGAACGGTGGTCATGAGAGCCAATCGATTTTATAAAAATACTCCCCGAATGTATGGAACCGACACGGGTCGGTCAATAAAATAAGCCACGCCGCGTGCCTCACTTTGAATTACTACTTTGAAGAGGAACCATGTCCCGCAAAGGTGTCAAGATGGGCTTGAGCGACTTCCTGTCGACGGCCGACAGCAACGGCCGTGCCCCCGTGCCCGTCGGCCTCGATGCGCTCCCCAAGGGCCCTCGCGCTCGCACGGATGACGACGATGGCGGCTACCGTGGTGGCCGTGGCGGCGGCGACCGCCGTGACCGCGAGCCCATGCGCAGCGACGGCTCGGACCGCTGGCGCGGCGACCGCACCAGCGCCGGTGGCTCCAGCTTCCGTGGTGGCGACGAGGGCTTCCGCGGTGGTGGCTCCAGCTTCCGTGGCGGCCGTGAAGAGCGCTTCGAAGAGCGCCCCGCCCACATGCGCTTGAACCTCTCGCGCCGTGGCGAAGACGGCCCGTCGGGCGGCTCGTCCTTCCGCGACTCGCGCGGCGCCGACGACGACAAGTTCTCGCGCGCCTTCTCGCGTGGCGGCGACAGCGGCCGCTTCGGTGACCGCGACGGCGGCCGCTTCGGTGGTGATCGCTACGGCGACCGCGACGGTGGCCGCTTTGGTGGTGACCGTTACGGCGACCGTGATGGCGGCCGCTTTGCCGGTGACCGCTTCAACAGCCGTGACAGCGGCCGCTTCGGCGGCGACGTTGAGCGCGTCACGTCGGCGTACGAACGCCAGACGATCAACGAGCCCAAGGAAGACCCTGCCGAGATTGCTCGCAAGAAGAAGGAGGAGGAGAAGGCCGCCCGCATCGCGGAGAAGAAGGAAAAGAAGCGCCTTGAAGATGAAGCCATCGCCAAGGCCAAGGAAGAGAAGAAGGCTGCCGCCGAAGCCGAAGCCGCCGCTGCTGCCAAGGCCGCCGAAATCATGACGTCGATCCTCGCCACCGAGAAGAAGGGCGAAGCGCTCGTCGCGGCCGCCAAGCCCCTTTTGAAGGGCACGAAGCTCGTGCCGGCCGTCGTCATGGCCGCGCTCGTCAAGCACAACCAGTTTACGGCCACGTCGAGCGTCAAGTGGATGACGCCCGACGAGTATGGTGCGTTTATGGCGTACGTCATGGCGCCGACGTCGCCCAAGGAGCAGCTCAAGGCGCTGTACGCGCTCCAGCTCTTCATGCACGAGAACCGCGGCTTGGACGGGAAGAAGACCAAGGGCATGATGGAGACGTGCTTCAAGGCCCTCTACGCCTTTGACGTGATCGCGGACGAGGCCTTCATCGAGTACAAGTACGACACGGAGGACAACACGCCCGGCAAGATGCAGGCGTTTATCGAGACGACCGAGTGGCTGAGCTGGCTCGAGACGGCCGAAGACGACGACGAAGACGAGGACGAGGACGAAGACGAGTATTAAACTACGTAGAATAGAAACTCATTTTGTGCTGTGTATACTCTCACTGGCCTCAATCGTCGGTGGCCATCGCATCGAGCTCGGACCACATGGCGTCGGGCAGCAGCGCCTTGCAGCGCGCCTCCATATAGGTCACAGTCGCTACGTGCGTCGCTTCAAACTGCGTGAGGTCGGTCGTCGTGGTCAAGACAGCCGACCGCGCCGCAACGGAGCCATCGGCATCAACCTGGACCTCGTCCTCTTTGAGCATCTACATCGCACCGCAGCATGACCATCTCTGAGGATCGTTGTCATCGTAGTACCTCCCAGTCCTGGAAGGTGACCAGCGCCTAAGAATCGAGGTATGAGATCTGAGAGCATGCGGGAGGGTCGTGCCTCGTAGTAGCCCGGCGGCGGCGTCTCGAGACCCGGCGGAAACTTGAACGTGATGGGCGCCTGGGATGCGTAGAAGATCAAGTTCGCAGGCTCGTGGAGGTCGTTGGCGGGCATCTCGCGGAAGACGCGCACGTGGCGGAAGACCGACTTGAACGTCGCGCGGATCGCGTGGACAATGTCCATGTTGGGCTCGTTGTAGTAGCCGACAAAGTTCATGACGACGACGCCTAGGGGCATGTCGATGAGGACGAGCGACGACGAAGGCGGCCGTCGTACCGTGGCGGGTGAGCCATCGCTTGTCAATGCGCGTGAGCGTCTCCTGCGTGTAGAACGGGAGGACGTTGAAGCCCGTGTAGACGTCAATGATGGCGAGGTCGTACGGCAATGCCGGCTCGTCCGCGAGGAACTGGAGGCCGTCCATGACGTACGTCTGGCCGCGCGGACACGGCGCGACGCGGCAGTCTTCGTACTCAAAGTACGACGCGGCCATCTCGACGGTCGCGGCGCTGAGCTCGACCGCGTCGGTCGGCACGCCGTTGGTGCGCAGGAACGTCGGGACAGTCCCGACGCCGAGGCCAATCTGGAGCGCGCGGTCCAGCTGGCGCTCGAGGAAGATGGACGCCTGCATGACGGCGAAGCCGGGGTACACGGCCTGCTCGCGGATCCCGTCCTCCATGAACATGGCGCCCATGATCGAGTGGTCCGAGAGCAGGAATTGCATCTCGACCGTCGACGACGCAAAGACCATGTCGGCGCGGACCGTGCTCACGCGCGTGCTGCCTTCGAGCCGCGTCGCGAGGATGTCGTACGTCGTGGCCGACGGGTTGGCGGCGAGGGCGGCGCCGGCCAGGAGCGTTGCGAGCCAAAGCATGGTTTTTGCAAGTGCGCCCGCTCCAAATGTGCTAGAAACACCCAACCCCCGCACGTAATCTCATTCGAAGCCCAGCCGGCGTCGTTCCTAGTCCTAATACAACTATAGTATGTACTATATCGTCGTCGAAGGTGGTGTAGTATGCAATCTAGTCGGTCTACTGCTGGAAGCGGACCTCGGGGTACCACTTGAAGAGCGTTTCTTCGAGCTCCGCGAACGCTTCGTCGAGGTCGTTGTTGACGAGGACCTTGTCAAAGTGACCTTCGCCAGCAAAGTCGACCTCGCCCTTGGCGTTCGCGAGCCGGATCTTGATCTTGTCCTCGGTTTCGGTGCCACTAAGCAAGGATGGTTGCAGTAGAAGTTGGTGGGTCGTTGCCGTACCGGCCGCGCAGGCGCTTCTCGAGGTCGGCCATCGACGGCGGCGCGACGAAGAGGTAGTTGACCTTCTTGAGGTTGGCGCCTTGGACCTGGCGCACGCCCTGGACGTCAATGTCCAAGATGCAAATCTTCTCCTGGGCTTGCACCTACTCACGGATTAGAGTTAGACGCGTACGGACAAGATAAGGGTCATACGTGTTCGACGGCAAACTTGCTCGTGCCATACCGGTTGCCGTGGACGTTGGCGTGCTCGAGGAAGGCGTCCTTGGCAACTTGGCCGTCAAACTCGTCGATCGTGACAAAGTGATAGGCGACGCCGTTGACCTCGCCTGCATGTTCGTCAGTCGCTTGTCATTGGAGATGATCGAGTACCTTCACGCGGGCCACGCGTCGTGTGGCTCACCGAAAAGCCAAAGAGGTCGGGGTACTTGGCCATGAGGCGGTTGATGAGCGTGCCCTTGCCCACGCCCGAAGGACCGGCAACGATGAGCGGCGCCGGCTACGCGCCTCATGAGCCAGTGTGCAAGTAAGTTCAAACAGCGTACCGCGATCTTCATGGGCGCGAGCGCGTCAAAGTGGGCCTTGGCAAAGGCGACGACGTCGGCGGGCTTCTCCATGAGGACGGCGCACATGAACGAGCTCATGAGCGTCTTGAGCTCCGGGTGCGCATCGAGGTACTCGAGGTGGTCGCGCTTGATCTCTTCCTTGCGCTCGTTCAAGATCGAGAGCTCCTCGAACGTCAACGTCACTTGGTCCATCGCCACTTGCCAAATATTCGAGTTGGTTTTGCAGCGTTTTATTCGACATACAAACATCCAGTCACTCGCTTCACAGGCCCACGTGTGGCCAGTTCCCGGAGAAATCCCGGACGCCGTCGACCCACCTCGAACTTTGGTCACGTTGTTTCCTCACCATCTTCCTCTTCTTCTTGACGAGCATGATCAAGTAAATATTGCACGACGAATGTATCAACTTGATGCATGCACGTGTCTCCGTAGCGTTTGCATCGGGCGAAGTTCATGTGATCCCATGATAACGCGAGCACGGAGGTTTAGGGTTACACGACCACAAAAGTGATCACTAGGGGACTTGGACGTAATCGTCAAAGTTGGGTTCGTCTTTGGGGACGGGCTTCTTGTCTTTGGGGCAGCATTCACTGATCATGTGGCTCACGTGCTTGAGGACGCCGGGGATGCGGTACTTGGTTGTCTGCAAATAGTGCTGCAGAGACGGTCGAGATGCCATCAAACGACGTACCGTGCTGAGGAATTGCATGAGACGCGCGCGCGAGATGACGCCGACGAGCTGGCCGCAGTGCGTCACATACCTACGTAGCAAATATACTCTTGCGGATGATGGGCAAATCTCAAACACTCGTACGCGTTGTTGAGTTTGAGCATGCGGAAGATCGTATCGACGCGCTGCATGTTGGTCATGCCCACGACAGTAAACGGACTCGGGTTTACGAGCACCTAACAGCCGCATAAGATCTGATCGCTGATGGCGTCGATACCGTCAGCTTGGTGCGCTCGAGGATCGTGTTTGTGCCGAGCCCGAGGACGTGGCCGCCCCGTCGAAATGCAAACTGGATACGCCAGTCGAGGAGCTGCTTGGTGCGGTCGTCCTAAGATCTTATTACGCATCTATACCTCTGTAGGACGAGAAGTACCTTGGCCTGCGGTGGCATGAGCCGTGTCTTGAGGTAGCAGTACTCGATCGCTTGCTGGAGGCGCGTCCGGGTCACCGCGCCAATCAAGTGCATCGACCGTGACGAGTCCTAGCATACCAGCAAGATAAGAGTCGGTATTAGACCTTAGTTTGGTCGTACGACGATGGGGAAGACGGGGTCGCCCGAGAGCGCGAGGAGCTCTTCTGCGCGCCGGTACGTAGCGTCGGCGCTCAGCACAACCATCGCATCCACCGTCTACACGACCCTCGTGAGACTCTACTAGAAAGTCGAGAGGAAATGACCTTCATGACTTCCCAGCTCGGAATGTCGTAGGCCGCTTTCGGCAATTTTTGCAAGCGCGGCAAGCGTGACGTCGTGATGAGCACGTCGTAGCTACAAACCGTTGAATCGCAGTATGACGCGGAAGGAGACATACACATTCTCGATGAAGCGACCGCCCGTGAAGTATGCAGCCAAAATGGAGATGGACACGGGGATCGTGAGGTACCTACGGACAAAACACTACGTCGGTCGTCGGCGAGAGACATCTCGTACCCGTTGTGGCTCACTTCCATGATGATGACTGCGGTTGAGATGGCGCGCGTGACGCCAGTCGAGAAGGCGGCGGCGCCGAGGATCGCAAATTCAAACGGTTCAAACTCGGTCGAGACAACGCCCGTGACTTGGATGGCTTCGCCAATCATGCGCCCAAAGATGCCGCCGATGACAAACGTCGGGGTGAAGACACCAGCGGGCAACGGCACAACGACGCAGACTACATCAAGGCCCTTCATATATGTAGATTCAGGTATTTGCATACTCATGGTCAATATGTACTTGAGCGGGAAGAACGTGATGAGGGACCGCGCGAGCTCCGCGCCCTCTTCTTTCGAGTCGGCCTTGGTGAAGAGCGTATTGATGATCGTCTGCGGCGAGCCTGCGTGATGCGTCGATGAGTGCCTCCGTGAAATCAACTCTACCGTGGTCGAGGAACCATGCCGGATCGCCAAAGAAATCGAAAATGTTGGCAATCAACGTCACGAGGATGACGATACCGAGGCGCTTGTACAGTAGTCGCGGGCCGCTACCTCGTGTTTCAAGACCTGGCGGAAAACGTGGCGTACCGAGAGCTGAGAAACCACCGATCGCGCACTCGCACGAGCATCGAGATGACAAAGATGAAGACCGCGCCGAGGACGCCGCAGACGACACCGATAAAGATGAAGATGCACATGTCCACGGATGTGAATTCGCTACAGCACCCTGTTGCATACAAGTTGTCCATACCTCAACGCACCGAGTAAAGTCCGTGTCGATGAGGCCGAGACCCGCGGACCGGTCAAAGAGGCCGTACTTGCCGTTCGTGACCAGAAACGAAATCGTGATCGAGCCCGCGAGTGCGGCAAAGAACGATCGCGGAAGCGTCCGCACCATGTAAAACGACGATGTGACTTCGACGGCAAAGAGGACGCCGCCAAACGGCGTTCCGAACGTCGCCGCAACGCCCGAGGCGCACGCGCACGCGAGCATCTCGAGCCTACGTCCACACTACTTGAGACAACTTGTCTTTGGAAGAGATACGTCGTACCGCTTGGCCGAGTCGTCGTGGATGCGGCGGAAAATGTCCATCTGCATCAAACACTCGGCAAAGCAGCACGAGATCATGATGAACGGGCCTTCTTTGCCGATACTGAGCGCCGCCGCGTACGCCATGACAAGCCCCGCCATCTTGACGACGAGGCAGCGTGCGCTTAGGAACTCATGCATGTCGACACCTACGACACCATTACGATGTGATCGAGTCGCAGGACCTTGAACCAGAGAGCGCGACTTTCATTTGTGGCAGACCCGAGCCTGCAGCTTCCGGCGATACAAAGTGAACGAGAAGCTATCGACAACCATATTGAGAGCCATTTCAGAATCCAAAGATGCATCGTACTGTCCCAAGGATGCCGGCAGCAAGGGAAAAGAGGAAGAAGACGCCAAAGCTACACCAAGGGTCGTGAGCGAGCGACGGTAGCAGTGTGCGCGAACCCGTTGCTGGCGAGCGCTTGGTGGTAGGCGGTCACACGCAAGATGATGGCGTCGAGCCACAGCCTAGCGCGCATCGATATGCAGTGAGACGAAATGCAAGTGAGGTCGAGTACCCGAGGAAGGCGGAGAAGAGCCCGATCAAGACGAGGAGCACGGGACTCTGCAGCAAGACGACGATACCGCGCCAGCCTAGCACAGTATAGCGATTGCGAGCGTCAGTGTCGAAGCGCACCTTTGGGGTGCGGCGAAATGTACATCGAGTGGTACGCGCCGTCAAACACAGTCGCGTCGTTCTCGGGGATCGTCGACCTACCGCATCATGATCAGGTTGCAGAAGCTGCAAGCGCAATCGCTTGGGTACGTCGAGGGCGTTTGGCTGCCGCCATCACGCAGCGCGCCAAGGCTGTTAGTGCGCGTCCGGAGCCGCGGCGCCGAGCTCTGGGGGTTGTACTCGAACGGGTGGGGCGTTGTCGACGCTGCAGCATCGCGTCGCATCGTCGGGCTAGAGAGATTGGAATCTTACCTTGCTTGGCATCCCATGGCATCTCGTCAAAGTCGTCGCGGAACACGGGCGATGCAAGCTCTTCGACAACAGAGAACCGCCACTGGCGCGACTGGCGGTTCTGCGTGCTCGAGACCGGCGTCGGCGTCTCGCGCCCGGACCCGACGCGCCGGGGCTCGGCCGCCGTGTTGACGCGTAGATTGAGACCTGGTAGCAGAGGCTGCTTCTCGGCCATGCTGGACACGTTCCTAGTCCACGTCTCGTTAGCCGCGATCGACGGGCGCCATCGCGTTGGTACCGTGCAACTTGGCAATTGTTGCACCTTGTGGCCGACGACGCGCGCGTGATTGGTAGAGCGGTTAAGATTTCAGCCAATCATATCGCTGTGCCCACTTCAACGACCGCGGTGGCCAAGACACTTGAAGTAAGTATAGTTTGGCTAAGGGTGGCGAATCTGAGGTTGAACATCCGGAGACATCAGCGCGGACGTCGGCGGGAGCTCCGCGGTCGCCGTGGACGCCTCACATGTCGCGCGCATCCACGTGGCTGTAGCACTTACGCAGGGCGGCCCTCTCTGCTTGCCGTGGCTCTGGCGCCGTGGCGCGACCGCAAATAAGAACTCATAGCTGGGACGAGCCGCGTGGCATGTCGCGTGTCCGTTCGGCGACACGGGTGCATGGACCGTACTAGCCCGCCATGGGCGATCGATTGTCCTCGAACCGAGGACGTATTACACTGTATTGGCACCGCCTCCTCCCCTGCGTGGACCGCAGTCTCGTGAGACCACACTCCTCGAGCCACAGCGCTGCAAAGCGTGTCAAGCCGAGAAGGCAAAGATATGGATGCAACATGCTACGAATTTTATGCAGCGTTGGCAAAGCCAATGCGGGGCTTGCCGGTCGTGGACCACTCGAAGACCGTGTAGTGCTTGCGCATGAAGACGTCGCCGAGGATCCAGAGCGGGTTGCCGGGAATGTCGAGGCCAATGAACGCAAAGAGGCAGACGGGGCCGCTGCGGATGATGTACTCTTGCTTCGTGAGCGTATACGCCTTGCCGCCGACCGTAAACGTAATATCGGGACCCGGCGAGTCGCACTGGATGAGGTACTCGCCCATAATGAACGCGTGGGCGCCGACCTCCTTGGCGAGCTTCTTGATCTCGGCCTTTGGGCCTGCAAGCAGCGATGTGCCAGAGTCGACAATGCACTGGACGTTGCTCGCAATGGCTTGGTCGCCGGCCGTGACGCCGTCCAGCGGAATCTGCCAGTACGTCGAGCTCGAGAGCTCGACATACGAGATCTCGCCCGTGTAGTGCTTGGGGTCCAGCTCCCCGAACGTGAGCTCACCCGGCTGGTTGGTGCCGAGGTAGAACGCAAAGAGGGGCTTGTCCAATGTCGCGAGCATGCGATGGAAGGGCGTCTCGACGTGGCCGACAGAGATCGAGTCGAACGCGAGCCCAAAGATCCCGTCAAAGCGACCAAGATAGTACGCGGGCCCAAGACCCTTGGTGACGTTGACCTCGGCGAAGATCTGGTCCTGCAGCTGGATACCCGCGACGTTGAGCGTGTCCTGCGAGAAGTATCCCGAGACGGGCCCGCTGCCATACTGAATGTGGAAGTCGGTGCCATTGGCCTTGTACGACGACGAGAGGCTGTGGTTGTAGTGCTTGTGCGCCCCAAACGCGCGGTTGGGCACCCACAGGTTGCTCGAGCCCGTGTCGAAGATGACGTTGAAGCTCTGGCCCGGCGACCCGAGCTCGATCTTGCCAAAGTACTGCGCGTTCTGGAAGTTCTCAATGACGACGCTGCCGCTGTCGTGCACGACGTCGTCCGTGAGGTCGGCCTGCGTCGGGTCCCACACGGCCGTGCGCTGGCTGCGCGGCTGGTGCCACATGACGCTCTCGACAAAGGTCGCGTCGTCGACCTTCTCCATCTTCATGCGGAACGAGGCCGCGTCTGCGACGCCCATCGCGAGCGCGGTGACCGCGAGCGCTGCCTGGATCTTCATCGTCGTCGGTCCAAAGTCGAAATGATTCGCTTCCGCACAAGTGGATCCACTTTGGTTTTAAATCCCTTGCTTCCTGAATAGCTTGGTGTTTGTATGAAGAGCTGCCTTTCTGAAAAAAAGAGTGCGACCAAGATCAGTCCAATGCCGGTCGTGGCAGCTGCAACATGACGAGCTGTTTGCACCCAGCATCCGCTCGATGGCGACACGGCGCGTCTTGCCCATGGCCGCATCGAGGTAGGTAGACTCATGGACGCGAGTGCTGGCGGAACACGGAGGCGGCGACGGGGCGTAGAGCAATGTCGAACACCGTCATCGGAGCAAAAGGCCGTGCCCGAACGAACAAGACTAGCAGCGCGCTTTGCACTTTGCTGATAGCGCGGCGAATCTACACGTCGTAATCGTGTCGATCGCACCGCTGTCACCACGGTTGATGCAGTCTGCGAGCACTGCGGTGCCGAAGCGGAAGCACTAGCCGGTAGTCTAGCGCCGTAGTCTCGACGGAGGACACGAGAGCGCATATACACCGTAGCAATCTCCAGCATGCATGCAGTGTACCAATGCAGCGTCGCTCGATTTAGCCTTCTGCGCAGGCCACGACGACGTGCACCGACGCGCGGGCGGTGCGCCGTCGCTCCAAAGGCGGTCGGTTGTTTCTCAGTCCATAGGCGTCACGACAGGCTGCAATTTTCAGGAGCCCTCTGCACCGCCACTCTCCATCGATTCACCGGTGGCGCAAGCGCTTCGGTCGCGGTCATGGCCGGCGGCGGCACCGCCACCGCGCCCACCGCCGCCCGAACCCTTCCATTTTCTTGCTCCGTTTTATGCGGCAAAGCGCCAGTTTATTTTTAGCCAATCGGCGGCGGATTCGTCGCATTTTGGCCAATCGCGTGCGTCGTAACGCGGGTAGGGGAAGATTCAGATCTTGGGTTTTGTATGGGCTTCTTTAGGTTCGGTGGTTGGCGTCGCCGGTGACAATTTCTGGTTTCTCGGTCGGCCACCGACGCCGCTTGTCTCGCTTCACTTGCGCGCATGGCAATGTCCGCCGAAGCCGACGGCGTCTGCCAGGAGACGAATGGCTACATCTGCCCACCGTGCTTAATTTTCTACCCGACGCCGGCGGAGTTTGAAAACCCACTGCACTACATTTCGAGGTAGCCAAACTAGTCGACTAAATTCGACTGCACGCCGACTGTAGCATCCGCGACGAGGCGCGCAAGACCGGTATCTGCAAGATCGTGCCGCCCAAAGGCTGGCGCCCGCCGTTCGCCGTGAATGAAAAAAAATTCCGCTTCCGCACCCGGCTCCAGCCCCTCTACTGCATCGAGGTACGTCTCGATGCATGGATGCGCAAGGCGAATCGTTTCTAGGGCAATGCCCGCGAGGAAGGCCAGTTCCTCGAGGCCCTGCGCATGTTCCACGTACGCTGCAAAGATGGATTTGTGGGTGGTTTAAAGGTGCCTGTTCTTGCTAGTACCGCCGTGGTGCCCCGATGCACGACCTGCCGTCGATCGATGGCAAGCCCGTGCCGTTCCAGCTGCTCTACCGAAGCGTCTCGGAGCTTGGCGGCTTTGCAGCGGTCGAGACGGACCAGCAGTGGCCCGCGGTGATTGCGAACCTCAATGCGCTCTCGACGCTGCGCATTCCGCTGGCCTCGAGCAACCACGTTCGCGACCTCTACCACACCCATCTCTTGAGCTACGAAGAGCACGAAAAGACATCGTCGACGGCAGACGACGTCACGGCACCTTCCGCGCCGGCCACGCCGCTGCACACACCAGCCCAGACACCGGCGCAAACACCAGCGCAGACGCCGTCAACGCAAGACGACGACGACGAGGGCTCGCCGCAGATCGTCATGAAGAAGCGCGGTCGCGGTCGGCCGCGCAAGTCGGAGACCGCGCCGTCGACGCCCCAAAAGCCAACGAGTTCGGACGCCAGCAGTCCGCCGGCGATCTTTCCTGGCTTGATCAAGCGCGGCCGTGGCCGGCCTCGAAAGAACCAGAATGGTCCGCGCATCTTGATGCCGGACGAGCAAGAGCCCGTGCCGGCGTCGCAGCTCGAGCCGTCGGGCCTCGCGTCCGACCAAACGCGCACGGAGCGCTTGTCGCCGCCGGTTGTTCGACTGCAGCAAAAGTTTTACCGCGCGTTCCAGACCGCCGAGCCGCTTCTGGGCGAAGTCAAGCGCGTCATGGGCGGCAAGAAGCCGTCCGTCGCGATCGAATATGCGAGTACGTTGTCTAGTTTAGAGTATGCGTGGACGCTCACGCGTGCTGGCGTAGACGGCGCCAAAGACACAGTGTCGTACGCGACGATGCAGTTCATTCTCGCCAACGGCAGCGACCCGTACGCTCCGTGGACTCATTTGCATGCATATGAAACTTTGTGTTGTAGGGCCATGGCCAAGCTGGCGCTCTCGGAAGAGATTTGCCAGATCTGCCTCCGCGCCGACTGCCGCGACCGCATGCTGCTCTGCGACGGCTGCAACGGCGGGTACCACGCGTTCTGCATCGCCTCGCCGCTGGCGACGATGCCCCAAGGCGACTGGTTTTGCGAATCGTGCATGAACGAGAAGGCGGCGACGACGTCGACCAGCCAAAAGTTTGGCTTTGAGACGGGCCCCGAGTACACGCTCGCAGCGTTCAAGGCGCAGGCCGACAAGTGGCTGTCGGAGCACTTTGACGGGAACCTACCGACGCCGCAGGAGCTCGAGGCCGAGTACTGGCGGCTCCTCAACTCGCCCAACCACAAGATCGAAGTCGAGTACGGCAGCGACGTGGACACGGGCGTCAACGGATCCGGCTTCCCGGTCCTCGACAAGCTCAAGAAGCTCCGGTCGCGGCTCCTCGAGCGCTGGAAGAACGTGCATTTGCACGCCAAGGAGCTCGACCCGAGCGATGTCGCGCTCCAAGCGCTCCTCGTGGAGGGTCTCGCGATGAAGAACGAGGCGGACTTCGACGCGATCAACCAGCTCGAGATGTACGCGAGCAGCCCGTGGAACCTCACCAACCTCCCGAAACTCAACGGGTCACTGCTCCAGTACCTCGACGAAGACATCAAGGGCGTCATGGTGCCCTGGCTCTACGTGGGCATGGCCTTCTCGACGTTCTGCTGGCACGTGGAAGACCACAACTTTTACTCGATCTCGTACCTCCACCGCGGCGCGCCCAAGACGTGGTACGGAGTCCCGGGGCACGCGGCCGGGAAGATGGAGGCCGTCATGCGCAAGCTGACGCCCGACCTCTTTGTGCACCAGCCGGATCTGCACCTCCAGCTCGTGACCATGTTTTCGCCCGAGACGCTGCGCAAGCACGGCGTGCCCGTGTACCGCGCGACGCACGAGCCCAACGAGTTCATCGTGACGTTCCCGTCGTCGTACCACGGCGGCTTCAACAACGGCTTCAACCTCGCCGAAGCCGTCAACTTTGCGACGCCCGATTGGCTGCCGTGGGGCCACCAAGCGGTCCAAAACTACAAGCGGTTTGTACTCGGGATCGTTCCTGTGAGATCTGAGTGGCGCGCGTAGCTTTGGCAAAGTGCCCGTCTTCTCGCACGACGCGCTTCTGTGCACGCTCACGCTGGCGGCGATCGAGCACACCAAGACGATGGAGTACCCGGGCTTTGTGTCGCAGCTCCTCCCGAGTCTCAAGCAACGTCCGACGATGCGTGCCCTTGCCGTCGATGCTCAGTGTCTTATGTGTAGTCTACCAAGAGGCGCTCGCGTTCGAGACGGCCGGGAAGCGCCTGCCCAAGGCCGAAGACATGACGACGTACCTTGCGTCCCACGGCCGCGCGTCCTCGTCGACGCGCAACTCGGCGCGCATGCGGGATTGCAAGGCCGACGACGACGGCGATGACGTTGACGAGCCTCCCACCAAGATGCAGAAAGGGCGGTCGGGCAAGATGATGGCTGCGGGCAAGATGATGGCCTCGGGGAAGATGATGGCGGGTGGCTCGCGCATGTCGCGCATGGTGCTCTGGGCCGGCCGCTCGGGCAAGAACGAAGGTCTCCGGTGCTCGCGATGTGCGCAGTACTGCTATCTGCAGGCCGTCGTGTGTCTCCGCTGCCGCCACGTGGGGTGCGCCGACCACATGGACATCATGTGCAAGTGCGACGCCAGCCAGTTTGGGTGCTTTTTGTACCGGATGCACCCGAGCCAGCTCTTGGAGTACATTCAAGCGATCGAGACCAAGGTGACCAACCTCACGAGCTGGGAAGTGCAGGCCAAGACGTTCTCGACCGTCAAGGGCCTCGAGGAGGTCGTGCGCATTGGCGAAACCCTCGTTGCGCAGGGGCTTTGGGTGCCCCACGACGTGCTCGCGACGCTCCAAGCGACGTACAAGCTCTTTCTGGCGTGGCGCGGACGCGCGAGCCCGCTCTTGGACAAGACGCGGAAGCAGCCGACGACCACGATGAAGGAGCTGCAGGCGCTCATCAACGAGGCCTCGACCATGTCCTTTGTCATCCCCGAACTCGAGCGCCTCAAGGCGCTGCAACAGGACGTCGAGGCCAAGCAGGTGGCCGCCCAAGGTATCATGCAGCAAATCGTGTGCCTCAAAATGCAGCAAGGCCGACCGCTCGACGAAGTGGCCGACGACTGGACGACGCTCCTCAAGGACGAGGCAGGGCCGCTCTCGGCGCTCGTCGAGACGATCCAAGCGGCGGTCGACTCGCTCCATTCGCTCGGCGTGCTCGTGCCCGAGCGCAGTCTGCTCATGAGCGACCTCGCGTACGTCAACTGGCTGCTGGCCGCCAACACGCTGCTCATGCGGTCGACGACCAACGTGCACAACGTGCCGCCGCAGGACTGGACCGTCTTTGAGATGTTTCCGTCGATGCTCGACCTCAACGCGCTCTGGAGCTCACCGGCGCGCAACCTCGTGCACCAGGGCTGGAAGCTCGACAAACTCTCGGAGCTACGCGCGCTCTGCGACAGCGAGCGGCTCAAGCTCTCGCTTGAAGACAAGGTCCGCGCCGTCATCTCGCTCGAGGAGCTCGAAGACATGGCGAAGCGGCTCATCCAGCTGCCGGCCGTGCCCATGGAGGCGGTCCAGCTACTGCAGCGCCTCAAGGACGGCAAGCAGTGGGAAGCCAACGTGGCCACGCGCATGGACGAGAAGATTGCGCTCGCAGACGCCCTCCAGTTTGAAGCGCAGGCCGAGGCCGTCGGCATCCCCGCGTCGTCGCTCCTGCGTCGACAGCTGCACAACCGCATCCAGGACGCGCGGCGCTGGCACGTGCGGGCGTTTGGGCTCTTCAAGCACCCGGTGCCTTCCGACCCGGACGGTGTCTTTGTGCTGCAAAACGTCCTCGACGCCGCCAGTGCGACCGAAGACGACTTGACGGCGCTTGTCTGCGTCTGCCAACAAGTGTGCTCGAGCAAGGTGCCATTGATGCGCTGCTCGGGATGCTCGCGCCAGTTTCACCTCGCGTGCGTCGGGGCGCCGTCGGACCGCCCGCCGAAAGCCCCGTACCTCTGCCAAGAGTGCTGCCAAGCTCGGCGCAAGACCTACATGTACCGCGGCGGGCCGCCAGCGCCGCTCTACTGTCTCTGTCGCGAGCCCGTCGACAACGTGCCGATGGTCTGCTGCGACTTTTGCGACGAATGGTACCACGCCAAGTGCATTGGCATCTCGCCGACCGTCATGAGCACGCTCGAGGCGTACCGCTGCAGCGCCTGCGCGCTCCGGCAGGGCGTTGGCGCCTCCAAGCGGCGGTCCCGCCCGACGCCCAAGCAAGTCGTGGGCCTCATTGCGCGCGGCGAGTGCCTCTCGGTGGAGCTCCCGGCGCTCGACGACCTCCGCGCGCTCGTGCTTCGGGGCACGGACCTCCACAATGCGATTGTAAGTTTTGAGGCGCACTTTTTCAGTACGTTTTCGATCCGGTCGATTCTGCCGCGCCTCCCCGATGTCATCGCCGCGCTTCAGACGCAGCTCGACGAGCTCCGCCGGTACGAAGCGCTCGTGCAGCTCGAGGCCGCGCACAAGAAGCTGCGCGCGATCCAGTGGTGCGTCCGCGCCTGCGAGCTCACGCTGGCCAACAAGTCGGCCCCGCGGTACGTCTCGACGACGATGTGGTATCCGTGCTGAGTGGTGCATGCTAGGTATTCGCAGCTGGTGATCCTCTTGGGCGACGCCAAGCAAGACAAGCTCGAGTTTCCCAACGAAGAGATGCGGCATTTCTACGGCGAGATCGAAGCCAACGTCAACCGCGCAGTGACGTGGGTCGAGAGCGTCAAGCAGCTGCATTTGAACCCTGCGGCGCACACGTACGCGCACTTGGCGCAGCTCCGGTCGGCCGCGGAAGAGATCTCGCAGTACCTCGTGCTACCCGATACGGCGGTCACCAACTTCAACGTGGCGCTCAAGTACGACGGGCCCGAGTAGTTGAACATTTAGTAGGTTGTAGCGATAGGATACGTGAGATGCGAATGTGTAGAGCGCCCAGTGTACACGTATGCCTTGGGGATTGTCGAGAAGATCCGACCGAACCCTAACCCCGCGGGCTAGGTGTACGCACGCTGGGAATCAAACGTGCAGCACTGTGACCGACCACGCCCTGCGTCGGCGCGGTGACGTCGACATGGCGCTCTTGGGTCGGGGCTTGGTCTAGTCCAAGCTTGGATCGCCGAATGTACACTATTGTTGCTGCTGAGTCCCGACAGAATTTCGCGTACTATATACGGCAATTAGCAGTGCTATCCGGATACTCCAACCAGCAACTCCACCTCATAATAACCAGCGGCAGGCAGGATGAGCAAGAACCGCATGGGCACCGCGAAGGAGCGCAGCGTCTTTGGTACGTCCGTGGCCGTGCATGCCCATGGACCTTCGCCATAGCGCTGGCTCATTCTCGTATGTGCGCTCGTGTAGTCGGCAACATCCCGTACGATGTGACCGAGGAGATGCTGCGCGAGATTTTCTCCGAGGCCGGGCCCGTCGTCAACTTTCGGTGCGTGCGCTTCGCTCTAGCGGCGCTCTCTACATAGAGTGTCTTTAGGCTCGTCACGGACCGCGAGTCGGGCAAGCCCAAGGGCTACGGCTTTTGCGAGTACAACGACGGCGCGACGGCGCTCAGCGCGATGCGCAACTTGAATGGCTACGAGATCAACGGCCGCAACCTGCGCGTGGACTTTGCGGATGGCGGCGAGCGCCAAGGCACGGACCGCGACCGCCAGAGCGGCGTGACGGGCGAAGCCATCATCAAGAGCATCGAGGCCGCGGTTGCCGCGCAGGGCCGCGTGCCCATCTACGACATGCTCGTGGCCTTTCGCGAGTACGCCCGCGCCAAGCCCGAGATGACCAAGACGCTGCTCAACGCCAACCCGGTGCTCGCCCACGCGATCATCGAGTCGTACAAGGCGCTCAACATCCAGCTCATGAAGACGCCCGCGACCCCGTTTTCGGTATGTCGACTCGTCCTTCTCCCTCCTCGGCTCACAGCGTACAATGCGCAGGGTGGGCCCGCGCCGACCGGAGGACTTCTCTCGAGCCGCTCCCGGGGACCACCGTCCGGCGGTATCCTCGGTCTTGCACCGCCCGTGCAAAGCATGCCGCCGCCCATGGGCATGGCCTCGTCGCGTGACCCCCGCGACGTGCGTGGTGATCCGCGTGGCGATCCGCGTGGCGATCCGCGTGGCGACCCGCGTGGCGACCCGCGTCGGCGTGCGGACCCGCGTCTCAAGCGCGACGCAGTTGGCTTTGGCGCGCCCGAGCCCAAGCGCCAGAAAGGCGACGAGTTTCTCAATTTGCCGCCGGGCATGAGCCAGGAGCAGCTCGCGATGCTGCCGCCGAACGAGCGGCAAATGCTTCTGAGTTATATGGAGCAAGCGGGGCTGCAGTTCCCGCAGCAGTAGGTTATATAATAATGTATATAGCATTGCTGGTGTCTTAGTGCTTGGCCTTCTTTTGACGCGCGACGGCCTTGAGGTAGTAGCAGCGGTAGTACACATAGAGGAAGAGTGCGAGGAGGCAGCCGCCAACCGCGAGGAGCCACTGCACATAGTCCATCTCGGTCGGGAGGCTGCACGTCGTCACGTGCACGTTGAGCGGGTTCTCGCGGTCGTTCTGCCCCGAATGGTGCACGAGCGCAATGGCAAAGCTAGCAGCACGAGCGTTCTTTCAATCTATCAAGTAGTTTGCAGCTACCTCGGGTCGGGTCGCTGGCCCCATGTAAACGTCGGCACTGTGTACTCTGGGATCGTCTTGACGGCGCCCGTGGCGGCCATGGCGTGGTAGTGGTGGTAGTAACACACCGAGTGCGTATGCGCCGAGAAGATGTAGTCGGGCTCGAGCGTCTGCAGAATGCGCTGCGAGAGCCCCTTGGAGAGCACGTGGTCCTGCTCCACGTATGGAAAAGCCGGGTCTTCGTACGTGTAGTGCGCCCGCTCCTTCGTGCGCAAATGCCCTACGCGTGCAAGTTCGTACGAGGCCCTAGAGCGAAGCGAAGTACCGCATTTGAGATCGTTGGGGCGGTAGAACGGAATATGCGTGAGCACGACGAGTGGCCGCTTGATGTGCTCGGGCGACTTGCGCTGCGTCTCGATCTGGTTGAGAAGACTATTATTGAGATTGAGATCGTCGAGGTGGAGGACAAAGCAAGTACGCGTGGGCGCCGTGGTACACTTGGTGGTCCAACACGTTTGTCTCGAGCGCCATTGTGTTGAGCACGATGAAGTCAATGTCGTTGAGCGTCACGAGGCGGTTGGCAGGCCCAAAGCCAAGCTCGTGGCGGCGCACGAGCGCCTGCGTCATGCCCGGACCGTACGCAGCATCGTGGTTCCCGAGCTACATCAAGCCCATGTCGATGTGAGGTAGATCGATGCAATGGACGTACGACGAAGAGCGTCTCGGTCTTGATCGGGCCAAACACTTGGAAGAAGCGCGCGGTGTATTCCTACGCATGCGATATGGGTACATGCACCGTGGCATGGCGGCCGTCGTGCGACCGGAAACGAATGGACGCTACCTTGTAGTCGGTGTCGGACGTCGCAGCCGTGCCCTCGTCGAGCTGGTCGCCGAGCACAAGGACGGCGTGTGGCTGCAGCGCAGCAAAGGCCGCTTGGAACGAGAGGTACGCCTGCCAGTCGATCCACGCCTGCTCAATCCAGTAGCGCCGGCGGTGGCCCAGCACGTGCACGTCGCCGATGATGAGCAGCTTGAGCGCCGCCTCCGAGGCCTCGGTGGACGGCGCGGTGCAGTGGCGGATGCTTGACGAGAAGTAGAGCGCCGAGCCTTCCCACAGCACAAAGGTCACGGACGCCAGCGCGCCGAGCGTGAGGTACACGCCTTCCTTCGTCATCGTCTTCAAGTGCGAGCCCAGCTGGTGCTGCAGCGACAAGGGAAATACCCAGCCGGAGAGGGTTAATCGTCAGAACGCATACGTTGGTCTGCATTCGCTTTTGCAAGTTTTACGCGTCAAATCCGATTAACCCATTTGTCGCAAGCGATCGACCACCTGCGTTTCAAGAGTGGGACCCCGAAGCTTTGTGAGGGCATCACACATTTCACACCGTGATGGAAGTGTGATTCGGTGTGATTTCACGCAGCTCCATGTGGAGCCGCGGTACTAAACTAGCGAGTGTCTATTGTTGTCCGTTGCTGATATCCGTGAACGAGTGGCAGTGAAATGTGCACCGATGCAAACCCACCCAGCCGTTGCGCCAAGAATCGTGGCCGTGTCTTGTCTGTAGTACGTCGAGTCGCAGGCGCTGCCTGTCATTCTACGAGGTCTGCGTGCGCGAGGAAGCGAAGGTGCCAACGACACCTCGCACTACACTCGCACTGGGACTTGACGGGTAATAACATTGGTGTAAACCAAGAACTTTACCGCATTCGCATGTCGAGGCTTGGATGACGTTTGATGCTCCGAATGGGCCGTGGTGCCGCGGTGCTGTGGGACGACTTTCATGGGCGCATCATCCAGCTGTGTGACTCACTCGCAGTAGCTATTCTCAGCCGGCCACGTGCATCATCGGCAGTTCTTCACCCGCAGCTGAGAACTGAGATGGCATTGGGGCTTTGCATGCTCGTAGCAGCGCGACGAGCTGAATGTGCCGACCCAGCTCGTCGGAATAGCCTGCTCTTGCACGGGTGGCAGTGAGCGCAGTACAGTATTGGGTACTCTGGTCGCACCAGCTTGGAGTACCTTCAGTGTCCGATGCACCTGAATCAGATCTGGGCGACGTGATGGGACTGGCCAAGCTTTCTTGCCTGTGCAGCATCGCTCCGTAGCAGTGAGTGACTGGACTTGCTTGGCGTTGCTGTAACCCAAGAGCCCTCGGCTCGCACTGATACTGTTGGCACTGCGTCTCGGATCGCGTGAACAATGTTCTACGTCGCTGTTGTGTGGCGGTACGCCGTGTGAAATGTGAGAAACGCTCTGTATTTTTCACGGTGGTACTTCCCAGATGGCACTTCGTTTTCATAGGTCCCCCTATGGTTGGAACTGCACATTGGTCGGCTCGGTCAGTTCACAAGATCAAGGATGGCGACGAGGCAGGCGCCGGGGAGCGCCACCAGCAGCAAGGCGCCGACCGAAGACGACCGCGAGAAGGAGTCGACCGTGTGGTCGAGCGACGGCGAGAAGGAAGACAAAACGCTGAGCGAGGACAAGAAGACGCGCCGCCGGGCGCAGATTGCCAAGTCGGCGCGGAAGCACCGGATCCGCCAAAAGCAAGAGCTGATCGGTCTCCGGAACCAAGTGCAAGAGCTCACGGAGGCCTTGGCTAAGGCGCGGCGCGGTCCGTCGGCCCACCGCGGTGTCGTCCAGAAGACGGGCTCGATCGAGATTGCGCTCGGTGCGGCCGAGATGGAAATGAGCCACTCGCTCCGAGGGCTCTGGCTCAACGCGCCGCTGCAGGTCGACACAGGCCCCGGCCCAAACGTGTACCACCCGTTCCATCACCTCGGTGTCGACCCCGTCAAGCGCATCGCGATGCTTTCGGAGATCGCGCGTCCGGGCCCGGCCCGTATGTACACCCAGGTACGCTTGTGTAGCTCGTGGACGGCTCACTGAGAAGAGACGATGACGTAGGTCATGGAGGACACACGTTCAATCCCGTCCTTCCCGCCGTACGTGGATGTGCGCATGACGAGCATGGGTGAGAACGTCAGCATCAAGTTTTGCCGCGTCTGCGAGATCACGAGCTTTGACCACCGCACGGTCTCGGAGGTGTTCTGGGACATCTTTTGGGGCTTTGACGCCCAAGGGGTCGTGGACAACCCCGGCCTGTGTCGCCGCAAGGTACACCAAGTATTACTGCTATGAGGTGACCATGCTCGTAGCTCCTCATGCAAGTCGACAGCAACACGCACTACGAACACATTGCGTACACGGTGCCCAACATGCCCGAGGTGCGGCTCGAGTCGCTGGACGTTGTGACGCGGCTGCATCACCCGCAGTACTCGATCTTTACGTGGGAGTCGGTGGACCGCGACGATCTCGTGCCGTCGCCCTCGGACCCCCACACCATTCGGCGCGAAGAAGTCGGCGGGTACCTCTCTGCTTCAACCAACGATTTTAACTTCTCTGGTTTAGGGTGCTCTTTCAGACCGAGACGGACGCCGATGGCTGCATTCGGACGGTGCTGCGGACGGTCATCTACTCGCGGCCCTTTGTGCGGACGCTGCCCAAGATCTTTGGCGATATGAACGAACCGTTCGCGCACATGTACTGCCGCCTCAACGTCATCGCCGAGGAGCAAGTGTCGCGCCACCTGCTCCAAAAGTTTATGACGAGTTGAGATTATACATACACCAATAGTCGTGACGAGTATCGAGTACATTCTAGTCGACTAGACCAGTCAATTGTTCGACTGGCCGCCACGGTATACTACGTTGCAACGTCTACGGTACGTGGGCGTACTACACACGTCGCTACATTTTGGTGGCGACAAAGACATTGTGAGAGCACACATTGCGTCTACACCACGAAGTACATTTATTGTCTTATTCGTCCTACTTGGCACGCGTTGTCGTTTGCCGAGTCGTACCACGGGTCGCTTAGAGACCGAGCCAGTGGTTGTTGCTGATACCCCACCCAAACGTCGAGCCGCTCGAGATGCCGAGGAAGAGGAACATGACCATGAGCGCCGCAGCAGCTTCGCGGTCTTCCTGCGGCACCAGAAGCGGACCCATGCCCATCGTAACCGTCGAGAAGAGCCCCCCCGTGACGCCCAAGAGCAAGTAGAGCACCAGCAAAAATGCGTACGCGCCCCACTGCGAGTCCCCAAATGCATACAGCGAGTTGGTGGATGCTGTCATCAGCAGGAGCGGCAGCCACACCCACCGGCAGAACGAAAAGACAAAGCAGAACCGCATCGAGAAGAACTTGATCGCGGCCTTTGTCGAGGCGAGACGACCGATGAGATCACCGACGTTGAACGGACCGACGACACCCGGCGAGATGATCCACGGGGCACCCGGCGACGACGTGACCGACTTGAGCTTGAACGTCGACGAGATACCGATACCCGGGAAGATCGCCAAACTGCAGAAGAAGAGCATAAACTGCGCAACCATGGGCACCACAATGACCTTGCCGACGCGGAAGAACTTGGACCAGAGCTGCGGCAGCGACACTTCGCCGTTCTTGACGTGGTCGGTCGCCGCGCGGTCGAGGAGGTAGCGCACGCACGGGATCTTCTCAAGGCGGTGGTAGACAATGATGGCACCGACCGAGATGAGAAACAAAAGCACCATAAAGATGAAGAACGAGAGCTTGACGCTGCTGGCCGGGTCCGTGTCGTGGATACCACCAACCGCCAAGTGGATGAGCGCAGCCAACACGACGTTGAGGACACCGGCCGCGACGTTGCCGACCTGGATCGCGTTCGTAAAGTGCGCATCCGGGAAGAGCGATGCGACTGCATAGAACGTCGGTTCGGTGAGCGACTGGGCCGCACCGACGCAGCCAAAGCAGATCAAGACCATGGTGGCACCCGCCGTCTGGCTCATGTCAAGGTAGCCTTGCACGATGATGAGGATGCAGCAGAGACCAAAGACAAAGTAGCCGATGATGACGCGCTTCATGTTGCCGAGCGAGCGGTCGAGACCAAACCACATCTGGATGATGTGACCGAGCGTGAGCGGCCACGTCAAGACAGGAGTCGTCAAGAAGGCAAACTTGACGTCCGGGAAGGTGCTGGCGTAGTAGTCTTGGGCCGTCAAGCACGAGTAGTAGGCCCACATGGCCGAGCCCTCGAGGAAGAGCAGCGACCAGTAGATGACGTTGCGGTACTCCTTGATCTGGTCGAGGACATCCGCAGGGAGGCTGTTGTCGAGGCCCTCGTCCTGGAGGCGCTTCTCCTTGATATCGATGGCTTCGTGGTAGCTACCGGTTGCGTCCATGACGGAACGGAGCGGCAGCAGCAGGCAAATAGAAAAGTGAGCAAACTGATGCACGCCGCTCAAACTCCGGAGGTAGCATCATCCCATCCACATATTCCAGACCGCTTCGTTGCCCGCGACAACTGGGTCATGTAACGGCGCTCCCAAGATTGCGCTGAGATACCGAAGCGTTTTCGGTGGACCGCACGAAGCCAAGCTGAGACAAAGGGTGCTTACCGCACCGCGTACGGCTGCGAGGGACGTTCCTAACGAGTCAATTTGCCTCTTGAGGGGATGCGCACCTCGTAGCAAGGTGCTCGACTACGAAACAAAACATCCAAGTCCGAGGGTCGATACAATTTTTGCTCTCGCTCAACTACGACGTACGCCTCCCACGTAGCTCTTCCACGTACGCGTCGGATCGACTGCCTTCTATCGGCTCATCAACGTCCCACGCGTCGACGCGATCGAGGCTGCGATGCAGAGCCATCGTGGTGCCATGTTGAAGTGTTGAAGCATTCATCATCCGGATACCTTTATCCGGTAGAACATTTGGGCCAATCAGCGACAAACGCCTGGGGTGGCCATAAACTTCCAAGCAACCATGGTGCTCTTCGTGCTGTACGTCAAGGCGGACCTTGAGAACGTCGGGTCGATCGAGGCGCCGGCGCTCCACCGCTGGTGCTTGGACATCAAGGAGCCGACGGGCGATGAGACCCGCGAGGGCATCTGGGTCTCGGACGAAGAAGAGCTCGAGGTCTCGGGCAGCCGCGGCACGGCGCACTTCCTCATGAAGTGGCCGGGCGCCAAGAAGGAGAGCCAGCTCACGGTCGTGCGCGACATCAAGAAGCTCACGCGCGCCATCTCTGCCAACGACTCGGGCGAGTACGTGCCGCTCGTGGGCTTTGAGTGCCGCGGCATCGAGCCCGTTAGCTGGAGCCCCGAAGACGGTTACAAAATCACGTGCGCCGACAGCGGCACGGTCTTTGAGAACGTCAACCTCTCGGAGGACTGGGCCGAGTACGACGAAGAGGGCGACCAGTCCGTCGGCGTCTACGCCGTCGAGCACAAGTTCGAGGTGCGTCGGGAAAAGTAATTTGCAACAAATTAATTCGCGGCCGCCGTGATACCGCCGTTCCCGTCGAGCTCGTCTTGGTTCTCCTTCTCTTCAAGCTCCTTCTGGACCTCTTGGAAGACGTCGCGGAGGAGTGAGTCGAAATCCCATGCCTCGTCTTCCTCAATGACCTAGCAGCCATGGATAAAACATGGAAGGGATATGGTGGGAAGGCGGACCGCGCGTTGGGGGCAGAGAAAGCTCGTCAGCAGCTGCAGGTCAATGCTACCTGTCTACATCCACAGCGATTGGCATTCGATACGAACAGACGCAGCGTCGTACGCTCGGCAGCGCGTACTTGACGTCGCGCTCGAGCTCCTTGAGCGACTGCACAATGCGCGCCGTATTGCGCGGCGCCTCGGCAACTAGGTGGGATCGTCAAGCGACATCGCAGCCGTGGCGTCTACTCTGCGTCGTAATATCAGGTTCGCGTTCCTCTTCTTCTAAGTCTGGGATCTCGACGAGCTCTGTTCGGGGCCGTGAGTGTCGATGAAAGCCATCAGTCGCTTGTACCTGTCGTCTCGCCATCGTCGTCAAAGTGGCGGTTCTTGGGCTTCCTGCACATGTGCTTGAAGAGGGTCAGGACACTCGCAGCACGTACGACGCTTCGCCTTGCTTTTCGTCCTTTCGCCGACGACCGCGCTTCGTCTCGGAGGGCTCTTGTTCGCCGCTGGCCGTCGAGGCTGCGGCCTCGCCACCCTCGACACCCCACCCGCTCATGCGCTTGGTGATGACCGGCTTGTCGTCTGCGTTCACATCCTGCATGTGCAGATCCATATCGTTCGCCTCTTTATCGTCGGCCGTGTGCTTGGACATGCGTCGGCTGCGCGTTCCCTTGGCCTCCGCGTCGCCCATCTCTTGTCGCGATCTTGCTGACGGGGCCGAAACGTCAAATGGATCTTCCGGTTAATTGGCAGAAGGTGCAGCATCGCACAGCGAGGTCTGCAGATGAGGCAGCGGAGCGTACAGCTTATCGATACAAGATCAACCATTCATTTTCGTTTAGACCTTGGGGCGCTTGCCGCATCGGAGGGCGTCCTCCGCTCGGCTTGGAGCTCTCAGCATAAATAATAGTACAAACACCGGGACGGGCACGTACTTCACGTGACCTGCCGCAGCGGGATACGGCTTTTGTTCCGTGCCAACGTTGACGGCAGCGATGGCGGCGCCGGCTGGAATCGCTTGCGCGGAATAGTGAGTTCCATGGCGCGCGGGCGCTTTGCCGTGCTGGATGCTGACGCGAGCTGCGTTGGTCGTAGCAGCGAGGATGCGGCCGCCAGCTGTGTGGGGCGAACAAGTTTGCTCGCAAGTGGTCGCGGCGCGGTGGGCCGATCGTCCTTCTTCGGGTATCGAGCGACCGCCGGGGACAGGCGTGGAATTCGTGTCTTGGCGGTCTGAAATGGCACCATGAGGTCTCTGTCGTCGTCCTACCGACATGCAAGCTTTTCAGGTCGATGATTCCCATGTACACGCACGTACATCCATGGCCAGAAGCGTCGAGTGTGTCGCATCGGGCGCGCAATCGGCAAACTGTTCCTGGAAGATCTCAAGCGTGCATCGACGCGCGCGCTTCTTCTCGAGCTACACACGTGCTGAAGCCGTGGCATCAATGGCGTCCATGTACCTCGTTCCGGAGGTGGTATCGTGCCAAGCTGAGGTTCTTCATGCCTGCGATCCATTATGAGTCGTCATCGTCGGTGCCAGAGCATGTACCTTTGGCGGATGGCGGAGACATGGGGAAGTCCATGGCGGCGAAGGCTTCCTGGGCGTTGTACGGGTTCCCGAAGAGGTCTTCGTTCACGTCTTCCATCTCCCAGTCGAACATCGTCATCGATCGCCCCGTCGTCTCCTTCGCGGCCCCAAAACGGCAAATGCCAAATTTGAATATTTAAAATTATATTGCTTGGGAGAGAGCCAGTATCCGGACCATCCGGATGAAGCGCGCCATATTCGATTTTGAGACGACCGCGTTGGCATCTCGAGGCCCTTGCTCACGACCACATGACCCTCTCGGAACCATTGCGTTTCGTGTGCATAGCAGGCGTCGCGCTCGCTGCTTACGACGTGGAGGCGTGCGCATCATGCATCGTACTTCACGCTCAAGGAGAGCCGCAAGCAGCCACGCACACCGGCCCAAAGCAATATATTCCTCCGCACAGGCTTTGTACTCGCAAGCCTGCTGGTCTTTTGACTGACAACGTCAGGCATGAAAAGAGAGTGCATTTGAGTGTCAAGCTCGACATGCATCAGGCTTTGGAGGTCGGTTCTTTGAAGTGGCAAGTCAACAAATCTCAGGTTGCTTGAACGAGGCCTTTCGGCTAACCACACACCAAGGACCGATGCGAGAGCAATTGCGCGGGCTGTATGTCCATGTTGCTCGACAAGTTTCTTTGCCGCAAGCTGCATTGGTGACGAAGCGACGTCGGTAGGTGGCATCAAATTTGGAAAGTGGGCCTTTCTTTGAGCAAATTGAATATATGTGTGTTGCGTGTTCATACGAGTTGATTGTCTGCGGTAGGAACCCCGTTCTGCACATCAGCGTGTTGGGATTGAGTGTATAATACTTGTATTTATCGGTAGATATTTCGTGATGTACGAGAGTAGAAAAGTCGGGCAGAAAATTCGAGTCCCATGCGAGGCGTCAAAGAAGAGAGAGCTTGCTGGTGTATTGTGCTGTGGTATGTGCGTGGCCAAGGGCAACTGTGATGGAAAGGCGTCGACCGTGGGTTCTACCATATCGTTGTACATACTGAAGAAACCTCTTGTCTTTACGACGACGAACGCGATGGATCCGTGCGCCACAACTGGACTTTGCTCGATGAGTCGACCACGCTGGAACGCATCAACCAAGCCCACGCCGGGTTCCATGCTCTCACAATCCTCGGCAGCGCGCATCTCGTCGTCGACCTCGCGCCAAAATCGCCACGACCTGCGTCTCAAGGACCAGCAACTGCACGAGCTCCAAGAGAAGTTCGATATGCTCGAAGCGCGGCATACGGCCCAAGTCGCAGCGCTGGCAACGGAGCACGCGGCGAGCTTGTTCCGCGTGCGCACCGAGGCCGCCGAGGCGCAAAAGACGTTGGAAGCCGCCCACCGCGAGCGACTGGACGCACAAGTGCAGCGCGTGGCCGCCCAAGTCAGCGTGCTAACATTAGAGCTCGCATCCGTGCGGTCAACCCTCGACGACGCCACGCTCGCGTCCGAAGCCCGGGCGTTCGAAGCACTCCACGCGCTTCAAAACCAGCTGGCAGAAGATCGCACTGAAGTCGAAGCCAACAAGCAGTTAGCGGAAGGCAAGACAGGCGACGACGTTGCCCGCCTCGAGCGGGAGCTCGCAGATGCCCGCGCTGCCGTACAAGCCGCGCGAGTCGACGCTACGGAGAGCGCAAACGCCATGCGCCGAGCACTCGAGCAAATCACACGCCTTCAATCCGAGCTGGCTGAAGCCGACGCTGCAGTCCAGACCGCTCGAGACGCCGCCGACGCCCAAGCCCTTGTTGCCAAGAGAGCCCTCGACGACTCACAGCTCAAGGGCGAGGCCTTGGACCGAGCGCTGGCACAAAACGAGCAGCTTCAGCTCGACATCGCCGTTGCGCTCGCTGCCACAAAGGTGGCGCAGGAAGACGCCAAAGACAAGGCCACGCTGGCGAGACGTGCTCGGGATGAGATTGCGTTGCTTAAACAAGCCCTCACCCAAGCAGGCGCGGCGGCAAAGGAGGCGCAAGACCAGGCCTTGGCCACGGCTGAGGCAGCGAAGCGCGACACTGCCGACGAGGTGCAACGTGCTTACACCCGCATTGCGCTGCTCGAGGCCGACCTGGCTCACGCCCACACCGCCACCGAGGCAGCCAACGGCACCCGCGCGACCGAGCTCCAAGCCGCCGTCGAGGCCATGGCGTCCGAGAAGGTTGCGTTTATGCAGTCCAAGCTCGCACTTGCCGAGCGTACGATGGACGACCTGACGGCATCGCAACGCCGCGCGGCCGACCAAGTAGCCACCAAGCTAAACGCACTCAACCGGCAGCTGGCCCACGACGTCGCGCAACAAGAAGCCGCTTGTGATCAGATTCAAGCGCTTGAGGCAGCATTGGCACACGCCGTCGCCAAGACCGACGCACTGGAGACGCAGCTCGGCGATGCAACGTCGGACCTCATCGCCTTGCGCTTTGACGTGCATGAGCTGCGGAAAGCTCGCGTCGCCGAGCTTTCGACGGCGATCGAGACCTACGACGACGCGGCGCGCACGATCCAAGGCGTTGTGGATGCAGCCATTGACGAGGTCAGCCATCGCGGCTTCTGCCGGCCATCCAAGGTGCACGAACGAAAGTGGGTGCTCCATCAAGCGCTTCTCGTCGCGTCCAAGGCGCTGTCCGTGACCACGGTCGGTTTGCGCCAGCTTCACTAACAACTGCACACTATTATCTTATCCTCACTGCACGTCAGTCTATTCCATGTAAACTTATTAACTTAACTCTTGTTCGTGCTGTCTTGTGCTGGGGCATAGAACGCGTCGGTGTTGGTTGAGACGCCAGTCGCATCCGGATTCTATCCGGCGCCGGTTACGGTTCTATATCGAGGCGAGCAACCGCAGGTGCCAATCGTCGACAGCACAAGCAATAGCATGGGCCTCTTCAAGGAGCTGGCGTCGGCCTTGGGCATGAAGAAGACGGTCGTCCGCATCTTGGTCGTCGGCCTCGACAACAGCGGCAAGACGACGCTCGTGAACCATCTCAAGCCGCGCAAGAGCCAAGCGACCGAGGTTGTGCCCACGGTCGGGTTTCAAGTCGAAGAGTTCACCAAGTACAATCTGAGCTTTACGGTCTTTGACATGTCGGGCCAGGTCTTTGTCGTCGTCGTCCAGTGCGATGGGCTCACGATGCTGGTAGAGCCGATACCGATCGCTGTGGGAGAACTACTACCAAGACGTGCAGGTAGAGCGAAATGCACGAGGCTGTTCCAGATACTATGGCGTAGGCGATCATCTTTGTCATGGACTCGACCGACACGATCCGCATGTGCGTCGTCAAGGACGAGCTCGAGCAGATCCTCGCCCACAAGGACTTAGCGCCCAAGAAAATCCCGATTCTGTTTTTTGCCAACAAGGTTAGTACCCTCCGCAGCCTGCATGGTCTCATGGAACGGCAGATGGACCTTGCGCATTCGCTGACGCCGGTCGAGTGCATGGGGCAGCTCGAGCTCGAGAAACTCTCCAACAAGACGTGGCACATCACGTACAACGCGACAGAAAGCGCGCATCGTAACCATGATTTCTAGGGCGAGCAACGCCATCACGGGGCGCGGCGTCGAAGAAGGCATCCAGTGGCTCGCGGACCAGCTCGGCAGCGCCAAGAGCCGCAAATAGTAATACCGTGTGCATACAAATGGTGTATTATTTGCGGGAAGCTTCGTCAAAGCGCGCGAGGCCGTTCGCACTCCAGCGCATGCTCTGCGCCCACGAGTCAAAGTCGAACGCATCGTGAATCATGCGTACGAGATCTTCCGCGTGCTCGTGCTCGCTCGAAAGCGAGTCTGTCGTGCTGAGCTCAGCGCGGAGGTGGTCGTAAAACTCGGGGGGCGACCAGCCCTCTTGAATCAAGAAGCGCTCGAGCTTGGTCTCGACGAGAGCTTGAAACTCGTCGTGGGCTTGCGTGCACTCGAGGCGGTACTCGGTGGCGCCGCCTTCAAAGAACGGAATCACGCGCTGCTCAAACGCAAACAAATCTACGAAAATTGAGTTTGGACGTGGGCGACGCCGGTCAAGTTACCGCCGAAACCATCTTCGTCAAGCTCCAAGAGGTACGTCAGCACCTACACGCAGCAGCAAGAGATATCGGCCAAGGAAGCCCATCGAACCTTCTCGATGACGTCCGGGGACCGTAGGCGCCGCGCGACGGTCTTGGTCCCTCGTGCCACGTCCTCCCGGGCCGAGTCCAATAGCCGCTGAAAGTTGTTCATCGCCAAATTGAGGATATGAAGGCCCACACCGGGGACCCATCGATAAACTTCTGCTTGGTCAACCATGTAGGTATGTTTTTAGTAGGACCCCGTACGTGGCCGTTTCATGAAACGCTCCCCCCATGGACGAGGTTGACGAGGATGAGGTCCGGCGACAGGTTGCGGTCGCGCTCTACCGCCATGAGAAAGGCCGCGCACTTGCTCTCAAGAAGCAGCGCGATATTCGGCGGGCGGTGGCGCTGCAGACCGCCAAGCATCGTCGGCGCGAGGCTGCTTGCTGCTCCGAGATGGCAGCCGAGGACGCAGCCTCCCGCGCTGCCCAAGCCTACTATTTTGGCCTCCTCCGCGCCGAAGCCGAGAAGCGCAAGTACGACGAGGAGCAAAAGGTCCTGCAGCTCGTATCAGCGACGCGGAAAACAGCCAAGTCGGCCGGCGCGGTCTTGAGCACGCCAGGCGCCCGCGGCCTCGAGCGTTTGGAGGTCTTGCGCCAGCGCACGGCGACGATTGAGCGCGACGCCGAGCTCCGACGCACCATGCGCCCACCAGGGCTGCACCTCGAGGCCCTTCGCGTCCGGTACTTACAGTTCAGTATTTCCTCCAATGTTACGGTCCAATAGAACGCTTTTGGCGGCGCACGGCACGGAGCACGCGATCGAGTGCTTGGAGCGAGCCATTCACGAGCAGCTTTGGCCCGAGATGCTGCATTTGCTATCGACGACGCCGACACTCGCGGCCGATTTTGAGACGTCGACGGGCTACACGCCGCTCGTCATGGCACTCTGCCACTGCAAGCCCAGCATTGCGCGGACGCTCTTGACCAAGCATAGCGCGTCCCCGCACCGCGAAACCAAAGACGGCAAGACACCGCTGCTCGCTGCCATCTGGGGCAACGACGTCGACGGTCTCCGGCTCCTCGTACAGGACTTTGGCGCGAACGTCCGCGCCGAGTCGACGCACTACGTGACGCCACTCCTCTTTGCGATTGAGAAAGGTCGGCTTGCGTGCGTCCAGCAGCTACTCGCGTTCGGCGCCGATCCGAACGACGCCAATGTCGAGGGGATCACGCCTTTGATCGCAGCGACAATGGCGCAGCAGATCGACGCCATCGAGGTGCTTTTAGCCGCCGGTGCGCGCTGGGAGATCCGCGGCAAAGATGACCGAACGGCGCTCGAGTGGGCGATTCGGTGTCAGTTTCACGCCTTCCACGACCGGCTCGAGCTGCTGCGCTTCCGCCCGCCCACGCAAAGCACCGATCGCGACGGAGCGCGGCGGCTGCGCGAGCGACGCGCCGACACCGCCATTGCCAACAGAGACGTCGAAGGCCTAATGGGCATGGTGCGGCGCGGTGAGGTGAGTCCCAACTTTGAGGGACACGCGCATTGCACGCCAATGATTGCCGTCTGTGAAATGGGCACATTAGCGCAGCTCCAGTCGCTCTTGGCCCTCGGCGGTCTTGCCAACCAGCCGAATCAGCTCGGTCAAACCCCGCTGTTGGCAGCGTGCGAGCGCGGGCACAGCGATATGCTCATCTGCCTCGTCAACGTCGGCGCCACCTTTGCTTACTGCGACTTTCGCGGTCACGATGCATTCACACATCTCAAGGAATTTCCCGACTTGGTGAGCCAATGGACGCCATACCGCCGGCAGTTTACGTCCGCACTCACACTGGGCACACCAAGTCGCCTCGCCACCTCGTCGGTGCCGCACCCATTTGGCATGCGCACCGAGCTCCGTCCCGAGTCGGCCGGCATTCGAGTGGCGACGCCACAGCTGCAATCACCGCCCGAGGACCCGGACGAGCTCGATGTGCGAAATAACATCCATGGTCAACCGACGACGGGCTCATTCTTCGAGCGTAGGCAAATACGCAGCACAAGTGGCAGCTGCAGCAATCGGGCTTGCGCCAGCGACCCGGGAAGCGCCGCGTCTTTGAAGAGGAGCGACACAAGGTGCTTAAAGCGCGGCAAGCTCCACGCCGGAATGCCCTTGCCGTGGTCCAGCCCGACCCGGAATCCTTCATTGCCCGGCCTCTTTGCGGCAACTGCGTCTTGGTCCGCGCCACGGCCTACTGCCAAGAGTGTATGCTCGCATACTGCGACAAGTGCGTGATGGAGCGCCACATTGACGCGGACATGCGTCACCACAGCACCGGGCCCATTACGCTGGAGGACATTTGCCGCATCAAACCGCCCAAGCCGTCGGATCCGCCCGAAGCGCAGCCGCTGTCCAAGAGCGTCAACCAGTCGCTGGACGCCATCGCTGCGCTGCGGACACTATTAAGCGCGTCGTGCGAGCCGTCGAGAGCAATGACACCGGACATGGACCCGGAGATCAAACTGCGGCTGCTGCGCGACCGGCGCGAGGATGAGCGGCGGCGACGCGAAGCCCACTTGGCGTTGAACGTACCGCAGGTCGCGGCTTCCACCGCTGCCGCGCAAGGTGCGACCAATGGTATATCGGACGCGCCCATGGCATGTCGATAGGCTCGTCGCTGTTTAGCAAGCCGAGCGAGGTGCGGCTCGCACGCAACTTTGCGCAACAGGGCAAATTTGCGAAAGCCGAGGCCGTCCTCCTCGACGCGTTCAACATGCAAGTCGCTTCGTTTGGCGCGACGCACCCGCTCGTGGGCAAGACGCTGTATGAAATGGGCGTCGTCTACAACGTACGTTTGCTTGTGAAATTTGCGCCAGCTGCAATACATATCTCGGCAGGCCAAAGGCGAGATGCGCGAGAGCAGCGCCAAGCTACTGGAATCGATAGCGTGCTTTGAGCAGCACCTTCCGCTGGACCACCATGATATTCTCCAGTCGACAACTGCGCTCTTGGAGTGCTGGGTACGGCGATACTCGTCGTAAGACAGTAGAGAGGGACTATCTTCTACTAGAGTAACGGACGCGAGTGGGGCCTCTGCACAGCGTTTGCCAAAGGGCTGAGTATTCAGCGACGCGACGCGCTTGGGCCCAAGCACCCACTTACGCTCGAGGCCATCGCGCTTCGCGCGAGCTACTGTGCGCAGTGGGAGCTGCAACTCATGTTCCGCGAAGATGCCCGGGGCCAGCGGCTTCTCGACATTGCCACCAACAGCGCGTCGTACGTCGACGCTGCGCAAGGACGGTGGGCTATCGACGCGACGCATGACAGTACCTTTGCTTGCGTAGGCGCCACTCGCAGTACTTGGCGCTGCTTACGAGCCCCAAAACAGAGAATGTTGAGCGCTTCGTTCGCTACGCCGACACGACGCACTACGCCGTGTACATTGAATTTTGGCTCGCCGTCCACGGCTTCCATGTCGTACGTTCTGGACGCATCCACGTACCTGAGGCGGCGTAGGCGTGCGACGCGAAAGCGCCAGGATTCCAGCCATATATTGCCGCGCGGGACCTCTTTAAGGCCTTCTTGAAGACGCAGCGCATCAAGTGCACCACGGCGACGCTGCGCAACGAGATCCGCCAGTGTCTTCGCGGCGAGACGAAGGAGACCAGGCCGATCCGCGACATCTTCAACAGCGTCGTCGACCTCGTGTTTCAAACGACGTGGAAGAGCGTCTACCTCCCGTACCTCGAGACGTCCGACGGCATGGCGTGCGTCCTGCGTGCGCCTTGCGTCAAGCTGATCACACGCATATAGGTGGCATGAGGCTGAGCACAAGGCAGCCATCGACGAGTACAATGATCTCGTCACCTCGGGCTTGCTCGAGCCACGCACGAGCGACCCAAGCCCACTCGGATAGCTGTCCACGTTGCATTTAAGTAATTTAAAGCCGTGCATTACAGCCCTTTAGTTAGTCGAAACCGCCGCGCGTAGTCGATTTCCATGGACTTGCGAAGAAGCGGTTTTCTGTGTCGTTCGAATCCGTAACGCCCTTCCCTCGTTTAAGTGACCTCGTATAATCCGTGTCCATACGTATACTTGATATATGTATGTTTCATAAAGGTAAAGTGGGAAGGTTGCTATTGGCATTCGGAGCCGCTAAGATCTTTCTGGGTCATAGTGCAAGTGGCCAGCGACCGCAGAAGCCGCACGCGATGGCCCTCTTCAGCGCCCGTGGCTTGAGCAACTTTATCAGCGAAATCCGGTCGTGCACCAACGCCGACGACGAGCAGAAGCGCATCGATAAGGAGCTCAACAAGCTGCGCCAGAAGTTCACGCAGTCGGGCCAGCTCAACTCGTACGACAAGAAGAAGTATGCGTGGAAGATCATCTACATCTACATGCTCGGCTACGACATTGACTTTGGCCACATGCAGGTACATCCTCGCCTCGTCTGCAGACGAATCTCACGCGAGTCTAGGTCATCAATCTCGTCTCGGGCGCCAAGTACTCGGAAAAGTGTCTCGGGTACCTCGGCGTCTCGATCTTGCTCAAGAGCTCCGACGAACTGATGACGCTGGTCGTCAATTCGATCCTGAACGACCTCACGTCACCCGACGCCGCGTTCCAGTGTCTCGCGCTCTGCTGCGTCGCCAACCTCGGCGGTACGGCGAATTACGAACCACCATTTTGAGAATCCCGTAGGCATGGAGCTCTGCGAGACGCTGGCGCCGCACATTGTCAAGCTGCTCATGAGCTCCAGCAGCATCTGCCACGTGCGCAAGAAGGCCGCATTGTGCGTTCGCCGTATCATGCCCGCGATGCCTGATGTCGTCATGCCGGATGAGCTCGAGCCGCGTCTCCAAACGTGCGCCAAATGAGTCGTGGATGCATCTTTATGAACGAGTGAGTAGGCTCATGGAAGATCGCCACTTGGGCGTCGTGACGTCGGCCGCGAGCTTGCTCCAGATGGCGCTGACGCAAACCCCCGGCGGGTACAAGTCGCTGATTGAGATTTGCATCGAGCGTCTCTCCCAGCTGGTCATGAACAAGGTGCGTCAACTTGACAATTAAACCCATACTGAAGTAAGAGTGAATGCGAAGGCGTGCCCGCGCGACTACATGTACTACTCGACGCCGTGCCCGTGGCTGCAGATCAAGCTCCTGCGCATTCTGCAGACGTACGGCATGCCGGAAGACCCGCGCTTGGCCGAGAAGCTCAACGACACGCTGCGCAAGATCCTTGGCCGACCGAGCCCGGGCAAAGGCGCCAAGAACAATGCAATCTACGCCGTACTGTTCGAGACGGTCAACCTCGTGATAGCTCAGGGCAAGAAGGCCGACCCAAAGCTCCACGAACAAGGCATCCAGCTCCTTGCGCGCTTCATCTCGGTGAGCGAGCCCAACATCCGGTACATTGGCCTCGACTCGATGAACCGCCTCGTGCGTCTCGACGGCGTCTCGGAAGCTATCAAGGAGCACAAGGCGACCGTCATCTTTTCGCTCAAGGACGCCGACAACAGCGTGCGTCGGCGCGCGCTCGACCTTCTCTTTGCCATGTGCGACCACTCGAACGCGCTTGAGGTGCGTGGATGGTGCGTCAACTTTTATGTAATTTTTTCGCGCTAGATTGTGGGCGAGCTCGTGACGTACCTTGCGGTGGCCGACGCGAGCATCCGCGAGGAGATCGTGCTCAAGGCCGCGATCCTTGCCGAGCGATACGCCAAGGATCTCCGCTGGTACGTGGACACGGTCCTCCAGCTCATCACGATCGCCGGTGCGTTGCCATATATATATGGATCCAGAATATGGATAACGTACAGGTGCCGACGTGCCCGACGACGTGTGGCACCGAGTCGTGCAGATCGTCACCAACAACGAAGACCTGCAAAAGTACACGGCCGAGGTCATGTTCCGCGCGCTCGAGCCCAAGCACGTAGATGAGACGACGGCCAAGGTACCGTAAGGGTACAAGCGTCGACCGATAGCATGTGCGTAGTTTGGCGCGTACGTTGTCGGCGAGTTTGGCTACCTCATGGTCGAAGACGTACGTGCTACTTCCTGCCTGCTGGTTCCATACCGAAATTACATGGGTAGCCCGACATGTCGAGCCAGCGCCAGTTTGACGTGCTGTACCAGCACTACTCGACGAGCTCGCTCGCGACCAAGTGTCTCATCTTGACGGCGTTCATCAAGATGGACAACTTGTACGAAGACATTCGGCCGCGCGTGCTCGACGTCTTCAAGAAGTGCACGTCGCACGTCGACCTCGAGACGCAGCAGCGCGCTTGCGAGTACTTCACACTCCACCACGCCGGCGACGACACGATGAAGAGCGTGCTGGAGCCGATGCCAGTGTTTCCCGACACGCGCGAGTCGGCGCTGGTCGTGCGCCTCCGTCAGCAGCAGCAGGGCTCCGAAGACGACGGACCTGGCGCCCCGGTGCGCGACGAGCCGCTCGACAGCAGCGAGAAGGAGAGCAGCAGTGGTGGCGACCTTCTCACAATCGACAGCCCTATCAAAGGCAACGTCGTGGGCGGCGCAGGCGGTCTCCGCGCCCCGACGCCCGTCGACATTTTCGGCGGCGGCCCGCCGAGCACCGTGGACCCGGCCCAGCTCGCGTCGTGGTTCCACAAGATTGTCGCGACCAACCAAGGCGTGTTGTACGAAAGCGACTTGATCCAGATCGGCGTCAAGCAAGAGTTCCGCGGGTCCCAGGGCCGACTGAGCCTCTTTTACGGCAACAAGAGCGCGTCGCCATTCACAAACGTCTCGGCGAGCGTCAAACCCGTGCCGTTTCTGCGCGTCCAGGCCGAAGAGCTCGGACGTGAAGTCGGGCCCAAGCAACAGCTCAAGCAGCAGATCATGCTCGAGTGCATGCAGCCGTTCGTGTCGCCCGCTGAGCTCAGCGTCGCGTTCACGCTCAACGGGTTGCCGGTTTCGTTTGACGTCAAGCTGCCGTGTGTCGCGACCTCGTTCCTCGAGCCCGTGAAACTCTCGGGCGACGACTTTCAGAAGCGGTGGGTCGCCCTCGAAGGCCAGGTACCAACGACGAATACAACTCAAGAGCTAACGGCTCGCGACTAGGGCCGCGAGCAGCAAGACGTGTTTGTTGCGGCCACCAAAATGGACGTGCAGGCCAATGTCAAGCTCCTTACCGAGGCCATGAAGTTTGGTCTGGTCGAGGTACCCTGTTTCTTTGATCGAAGGAGGGTGGGCCCCATCGGTGCGTAGGGCGGCGACCCGTCGGGCGGCCTCGCGCTTGCGGCGACGTTTCGAACGGGCACGACCGCGCCGACCGGCGATAAGATCTCGGTCGGGTGCTTGGCCAAGCTCGAGAGCAACCCGCAGGCCAACTCGTACCGCCTCACGGTCCGCGCCGTGCACCCGGACGTGAGCATCGCACTCAAAAACAACATCAAGGGCGTCCTCGCCTAGGTTGCGTTCGACTAACTACTACTGCATTTTCTTTTTCGCTTGTCCGGTCAGTCGACTATTGAATGTTTTAGTAGAAAGAACCGGTTGACTCGATGTATGTTGACAAAGCTACCTGTGCATGGCGACGCTTTCGCGGTTGATGCAGCTGCGGAGACCCGATGCGACGACGTCAAATTGGCGATGACTTCAGTTGCACTCGTTCAATGACACTGTCTCGAGGGCGCCAAGAGCGACCCAGCAGCCCACATATGTGGATAGAGGAGCAGCTCACTGCGGTGGGTCGGTATGTGGACGCGTACTGGGCTCTGCCCGGGACGGCAAGACGACTCGCCAGCGTTGGCTAACGGGAATCTTCTTTCACAAAGGTATGTACATGGATGTCTATTCGATGGCGGCGAGGCCTTCCTTGAGGATGCGCGTGCAGTCCTGCATCTCCTCCTTCGTGATGCAGAGCGGCGGCGCGAGGCGGATGATGTTGCCGTGCGTGGGCTTGGCCAAGAGGCCCTTGTCGCGCAGAAGCATGCAGAGGTCCCACGCGTTGGGCTTGCCCGCGCGCTCGTTGATGATGATTGCGTTGAGGAGACCGCGGCCGCGCACGCCCTTGCAGACGCTCGACGTCTTACTACGAGTGGTGTGAGTACACATATGAAGGTGCAACAGTGTTGTTTCGTACATGTATTCCGTCATGTCGGCGCGGAACTCGTTGCCGAGCGCAAAGGCGTTCTCAGCCATCTTCTCTTCCTTGAGCACCTTGAGCGCTTCGATCGCGACCTTGCAGCCGAGCGGGTTGCCGCCGTACGTCGAGCCGTGCTGGCCGGGCTTGATCGTGAGCATGACTTCGTTCGACGTCAAGACGGCCGAGACGGGGTACATGCCACCCGAGAGCGCTATCACAAAGTCGCTAGTACACATTCAACAACGATATGGACATACCCTTGCCGAGGATGAGGATGTCGGGTTTGACGTTGTCGTAGTTGACCGCGAGCATCTTGCCCGTGCGCGCAAGACCGGTTTGCACTTCGTCGGCAATGAAGAGCACGTTGTGCTTCTTGCAGAGCTCCGAGACCTGGCGAAGGTAGCCGTCAGTGGGGACAACGACGCCGGCTTCGCCCTGGATCGGCTCGACCATGAAGGCGGCGATCGTCGGGTCGCTCTCAAGCTTCGAGCGGAGTGCCTCGATGTCGTTGTACGGGACCTTGTCAAAACCGGGCATGTACGGGCCAAAGCCGCCAAACGCATCCGAGTCGTCCGACGACGAGATCGCGCTCATGGTGCGGCCCCAGAAGTTGCCGTTGGCAAAGATGACCTTGGCCTGGTTCTGCGGCACGCCCTTGACATCGTACGCCCAGCGGCGCGCGAGCTTGATGGCGGTCTCACCGCCCTCGACACCCGTGTTCATGGGCAGCACGCGATCGTAGCCAAAGTAGTCGGTGACAAACTCCTCGTACTCGCCGAGCACATCGTTGTAGAACGCGCGCGACGTCAGCGTGAGCTTCTGGGCCTGCTCCGTGAGCGCGTTCAAGATGCGCGGGTGGCAGTGGCCCTGGTTCACGGCCGAGTACGCGCTCAAAAAATCGTAGTACTGCTTGCCATCGACGTCCCACATGTGCACGCCTACAATTTGTCATCAGACTCTCGCTTCAACATGCGCGCTGCTCGTACCCTTGGCCTGCTTGATCACGACCGGGAGCGGGTGATAGTTGTGGGCACCGTACTTGTCTTCACGGGCCATGATCTACATGGTTGTCAGCCTCGATTGCTATTGGGTTGCAGCTCGTACCTCGGCGGCCTTGGCGCTCGTGGCATGGTCGGCATGGCTGTGGGCAATCGTCTACATGGCGACGCGCATGAGCCATCCGGCAGCGGTGGTGGTCCATGGCGTACCTCGGCGGCGGCGAGGCCGTTGGGCGCGCGGATGGCCTTGAGGAGAGCGTGGTTGTGGCGGGCGACGGCGCGGTGCATCTTCGTGTGTGGTGTTCAAGCCAAATGCAAAAGTGGCAACCGCCAAGCAATCTTCGAAAGAAATCCTTGCTGTCGTGTGGGCGCCAGTGTATTTTAATGGCCGTCCCATAGAAAACCGTGTCATTTTCGCTGCATAAATAATAAAAATGCAAATCCGAACTTCGAAGGCAGCGAGGGGATGCCATTCGCCAGCTGGTTGGTTGACTTCAACTTCGAAGTTGCCGATTTTCAACACAACGTATTTAAATACCTTGATGTTTGTATGGACTCGGTACAAATAGTATCGCGGTGTCGTTCGTGTGCGACAATCCCGCTGATCTGAGAGACTTTTTGAGAGACTTTTCGAACGCAACCAGCTGGACCCCGCAGTCCCGCGCGAGTCCGTGGGGCTCCGAGCGTGACCAGGCAGATGGGCCCAAGCGCGTACGTATATCTCTCTACCGGGTGGGTGCTGCGTCGAGTCGTCGGACGACGTAGCCGTGCCGGCATGGAAGGTGAAATGCAGCAGGCGAGCGGCAGGCGTGGCACCGTGCCCGTCGGCGTCCTGTCGCCGCTGCCGTTGGACAACCGCCACATCGACGGCTATGTAAGTCAGGTTGCAACTGTGTGCTGGTTGAACAAGGTGATGGCCACGTGGCGACGCATGGGCCTCCGTCTCTTCCGCCCTGCTTGTGCGGCTGCTGCTCTGTGATTGCACCACCAGGATCGGCCGTGAGAGACTTTTCTAGTAATGGGTTACGGCAAAAGTCTCTCAGACCAAAGCTTCAATGTCGTCAGGCAGGCTTCGCCAACGGCAAGAACGAATGGTTGGGCCTGAAGAGGTCGGCCTTGGATGGGAGCAGCTGCTGCACCCGAAGCGGGATGAAGCTCGAGGTGGCCAAGGAAAGGTGTGCGCTCGCGTGGTTGTCCATCGTGTTGCCCTCGCCGAATTATCACCATGTCTGCATGGACGAGCAATGCAGCATATCTGATGGTCATACGAGCGGCGACAAAGCCACCCCAGAGACATGCTAAGATCTACTACATTTGTTTCTTTGCCCAGTCGTCAAACATGACGCGGTAGTCGTCGAGCTGCCGCGTGAGCATCGCGTTCTCGTCGAGGAGCTTCATGTACGCGTCCGAGTGGCTCGCCGCCTGCTTCCTGAGCGCCTCGATCTCCTTGTCGCGCTTCACGCTCTCTTCGGCCGCGCGCTGCATCGAGAGCGAGAGGCCACGCGCAAAGTCGTCAGCCGCGCGCTTGTACTGCCGAAGGCCGTAGTCCGCCTTGCCTTTGCGTGAGTAGACTTTGGCCCAGAGCGGATCGAGCTTCTCGGCCTCTTCAGCGTCGGCCAGCGCCTTCTGGAACTGACCCAGCTCCGAGTACGCGGCCGACCGGTTGCTAAATAGCGTTGCGGTGGGCTTCACGGCGAGGCCACATGTGTAGTGGTAGATCGCGGTCTCGTAGTCCTTGCGGTTGAAGCACGCGTTACCTTCGTCTTTGTGCACCGAGTCGTCTTCGTCGCTGGGCACGTTGCGCCCCGACTTGTGCAGCTTGGAGAGGTTCACCGGCAGCTGCTCGGCCGCATCGTCGCCGCCACCGCCCCAGAGCCAATTCATCTGTCGTCGCAACCCGCCACAACGCCGGATGCTGATCCGTAAACTGTGTGACCAACGCTCTGCAATTGCCGATCATTTAAATCATTTAATTGCTGACACGCCATCTCGAGTCGGAAGGGATGGTGGACCACGGCTACTGTAGCCGCCACTCGCGCTACAACAAAGGTAGCCTAGTCTCTCGTCCTTCAGCTCGTGGGTTAGCTTGACTGGCTGCAATTGCCGTCGCCGGCGCACCGGACAAGCAGCCACGTCGTATGAGCTACGAGTGGCAACGAGCTTCCCAGAGGTGCATGGTCAGGTGTCGTGGCTCGTTATATTGTACTTAACGTTATGACAAGGTGTGCTACAATGGTTATGGCTTCGCTTGGTGTAGAGTGTATGAACCAAACCTCGGTGTCTGGACCAGAGTAGTTGCTGTCTGGTTACAGCAATTCAGTGAAGCGGAATAAAGTCAGCGCCAACGATTCCCAGACGCGTCGTTGCTGGCTCGCTGCCGGGCGGTCGGTACCATCGTAGAGCGGAGCGTCTCTTCGTCGGACGACGACTACAGAGCACAAACTAGAATGCGCAAGCCTGCGAGTTGTACACACAAGATTGCATGGATTGATGGGCGTTAAATAAGATCTCCCGCCGTTTTCAGCGTGGCGCGCCACTAAATAGAGCAATGGGCACACGGTCTCAAATGACCACGATGGACGACTGGCACTCGGAGGCAAAGATGTCGTAGAGCAGCGCGAGGCGATCGGTCTTTTGTACTTTGGCGGGTGCGTCGGTCTCAATGTGCACGACCTCGAGCTTGCGCTTTCCGGTTGCCGCCGGCGCCTCGTTGTCGTGCCACTGCTGCACAATGTCACCTTCGATGGCTGTGATGAGAGCTTCTTCGAGGCGCCGCAGCTCGCGCTCCTTCTCGGCCTTCTTCGAGTTGGCTTTCCGCGACCGGAGAATACGGCGCGTTTGCCGCGTAAACTTTTCAATGTACACGTCGGTGTAGCCGGCCTCCCGGAGCAGCGTCGCTCGTTCGTCGGCGGTTATGCGTTGCGCCTTTTGAGGCATCTTGGTCGCACTGCAGCCGACGGCCTCAGTGCGCGTCTGGATCGGGATGCCACGCAGGCCAATGGCGGGCCCGCCCGAGCGCGGGATGGCGCTGCCGCCATGGCCCACGGGGAATTCGTACACGGTCGCGTGCGACCAGGCCACGTGCTTGGTGGTAGTGGCGGCTGGCCTCGCTGCGGACTCGTCGGTGCTGCTGGACATGGCTGCTGGTTGGTGATTTCCGCTTTTACACCTTTCTTTTCAGCGAGCAATTTCTATTTGGATACGCGGGGTGCATATTAATATACTGGATTCTGTCTCTTCCGTTTTAAAAATATACTATTAACACTGCGTTTTTATATGCCGATTTGAATTCAAGAATAAAAACACACGTCGACAACTTGAAATAAATCGGCAATGGCGTTTTGGATCTTGAGAAGGTTTCCACAACCCTGGCGTCGGAATCCTCGTCAACGATTGGCCAAAACCCGTAGATTTCCAATCGATCTAAAAATAGATTGCCGCGCCAGATGCTGGCGCGTCCGTCCGGCGACGATGCCATCGAGACAACCATCCACGAGCTCGTCGCTGACCTCGTCCGACCCGCGCATGGCAGCGACCATCATGAGCCCATGCACGTAGCACCAGCGACTATGGCCGTGGCGGTGCTGGCCTCGCTCACGCGGCTCGCAGCGGCCAACACCCGCCTCCGAACGGTGGTCGCCGATGCGCTCAGCCCGCACTGGATGGCCTTCGCCGCCTGTCTCTACGATGCAACGACGTCGGTGCATGCGCTTGTCTGCTTGGCATCGTGCATAGACAGCTCGCGCCGCCACCAGCGCCAAATGACGCGCGCGATTCCTGGCGTCGTCGTACAGGATGCGACAGTGATGCTGTACGCCGTGTGCGTGCCTGAGCGCGTCAATACCGCGTACAAGCAATGGCGGCGGCGACAAAAGGCGCTGCGGGGCCATCGCGCACCGCATGGCGTCCCACCCGACGCGTCGGGGGGCCCGGCGCCATGCTACTGCAATGCGTGCTTGGGCGTGCTCCAGCTCTTCCCAACCTGGCGCGCGCACTTCTACGACCTCGACTTGTGGCGTGTGGACGACGACGATGACGTGAGGATGACTCGCCCGCAGAAACCTCCGTCGCTCCGCGAGTACCTCGAGGTCGTCATGGCGTTTCACGGCCGCCGATTCGAACGTCATTTGCTGCCACGGGACGCCGAGAACCCAAGTGCTGGCTGCGCTACCTTGTATGCGCTACGCCTTCCGCGAAGCCAAGAGAGCGACAAGGTCGACGAAGAGATTTGTGATTTCGACGTGCGCGACGAAGATGGCGTCCTCGATCCTCGACGGGACATTGTCGCACTCGTCGTTCACGAGGAAGTCGGTCTCGAACTACTGCAGCTACAGCACGACAGCGTGGAAGAGGCGACCAACGAGGTACAAACGCCGATGACGACGAATGACAGCCCAACAGTCGCTGCAGCTCCCGCGCCAATGGTGGTTGTGCTGCATGAAGTCATGCGACGCGTGCCGGTGTGCCGTTATGACGCGAGCCCAACGGTGGTCGAGCCCGTCTCGTCGCTCGTCGAGTACCTTCGATCGCTCCACGCGCTCTTCCAAAGCTTGGACCCGAATGGCGACGGGTCGATCACGAAGCACGAGTTCATGGACGCACTCACCGACCACGCGACGCTCCGTGCGCAGCTCGAAGCCTCGTACGGCGACCACGCGGACGGGTCGACGTTGGACGACGATCGCCTCGAAATGGTGTTTGCACTCATTGGCGCTGGCCGCGACACACTAATTTGGGACGACTTTGTCGCGTACTTTGGCGATCCAACGCGCATGGAGCGCGTCCAGCAGCCTGCAGTACGCGTCGAGGTGCAAGCCACGATGGCGTTTCTGCTGCGCTGCCTCGCCGACGATGTAACATCCGACGATTTCGTTGTCGAAGATGTCGTCGACTGCCACATGTGTTGGATTACCGTCTTGGCCGATGCGGACGCGCAAAAGCTGCGTCTCGAGGCAGTGCGCAATGACGCTGGCGAGCAGCTGCGGTTCAGTGCCAGCGTGCCCCAAGCCGCGCTTTGCGTCCTTGACCCTTCACCGTTTGCGCTCCTCCACCTCACGGTCGAGTCGCTGGAGGAGCTCGTGGCGCGAACTGTCTTGTGCTACCACCCACCGCATATGTGCATGGCAGCGCACGGCGCACGGGTCGCTTTGCGCGAGGTGCCGCATACCGAGGCCATCACGCTTCGTGCACCAGTCAAAAAACCCTCGCCGACGCCGATCCCGGGCCTCTCGGCGTCCATGGTGTCGGCGATCGACCGGTGCAAGACCGCGCTCGAGACGCAGCTGCAAAACATGGCCTGTCTGCAGCGTGAGAACGCGACGGAATTCGCGGCGGCGACCACGACGCAGCTGCGGCAGTGGATTGACCAGTGCAACGCGCGCATGACGAGCCTCGCCCAGCCGAGTGCGTTCCCAAAGAGCACGCACGCGCTTCGGGCGGCGGCCCGCGATCGGTGCCAGCAGATCCGACGCGACTTCATCGACTGCGCCCGCCGCATTGCCATGGTGGACGTGCAGCTCTGGAGCGCCGAAGCTTCAATCGACCTTGTGCAAGCGACAGTTCTCACGCTTCACGACGTGCTTCACTGTAGTGCCGATGTCCACTACTGGGAGCGTCGGGACGAGCGTATCCCGAACCTCGGCCTCTCCAACAGCGTGTGGGCCAATGGCTACCCCGACGCGCTCTATCCGAAAGCAACCGAAGCCACGCGAGCAGGGCAAAAGAAGCGCAGCAACAAGCTGCGGCGTGCTGTGCAGGCGGCACGAAGCGTCCACCACCAAGTCGTAAGCTAGTAGAAGCACTCGGCACATGTATCGTAGGAAGATGGAGCCAAGAGCACTCACGTTATGTGTGCAAGGGCAATGGCCACGAGCGAATACTGCAGTCGCCCTATCACCGTGAGTAGCTTGACGACGCTCCAAGTCAGTGCCACGGCAGCGCCATGATAGCCTTGCCTCACACGCTGGCACGCTAATTTTTCACCAACCATTTGCAGCTACTAACACCGCAGGTGCTCCTACCACCCGAGTACCTTCTGCAGAGTGAATGGACGACAGACTATGGGCGACGAGCTGGCGTAGTAGCTACTCGGAAAATAAGTCCAGGCAAGCCCATGCCTTGGACAAGCCGCGTGGAGGCTGTCGCCACTCGCGCGAGGCACCTCCGTCCTGGGCGACACCTTCCTGCTTAGTAGGACCCGCGCCTTCTTGGCTGCCTGCTGCACTTAGCCGCCTGCTACGACGTCGCCAACGACAGGCAAGTTGGCTCGTATCCTGCAACGGCACAGATTCCACACTGCGGTGATGGGCGGCTCGTCTGTGATTGGCCGATGGTTGACAGCATATCTTTCGGGTCGGTGGCTCGCCAGAGAGCAACTGGCCATGGCGCCCAACGTCGTCTTGCTCGGGAGCGGCCGCGCCTCGTACGCGGCGATCGGCGTGCAGGAAAAGGACTTTGAGCACGGCCTCGCGACCATCCCGCAGTCGGTTCTCGACGAGATCGTCGCCCACAAGCGGCGCATCTACTGGTCGCTCTTCCTCCTCGAGGGCTCCGTCATGTGGGCCTACTACACGTGCCTCTCGGCGCAAGACTACTACCGCGCAAGCTTCCCGCACGTCGCGTTCGCCTTTCTGACGACCCCGATTCTGACATGGCCGCTCACGCTCGGCCATCTCGCCCAAATGTGGTTTGGCCTCGACAAGTCCATGGGCAACCGCCGCATGCGCGTCGTGCTCGGGTACGCTCTCTTCGCCGCCTGTGGCCTCGCGATCCTCGCCCAAGACTACCTGCATTTGCCCGAGACGGACGGTGCGACCATGGTCTTGGCCTGCTTTGCCATTGTCGGTATCGCCCACTCGCTCGTCGAGCCCGCCTACTATGCGATTGCAGCGCTCTTCCCGGACGAGTCGTTCACGAACGCTGTCCAGCTCGGAAACGTCTCGGCCGGCGTCTTCAACATCACCGCGTCGACGCTTCTGCGACTGCTCGTGGGCGGCGACAGCAGCACGCAGCTCGCGTTCTACCTCTTCATCTTCCTCCTCCTTGCCGTGTGCGCGTGCGCGCTCGTGGTCTACTGCCGCCTCGAGTCGCTCCACTGCGTCAAGTACCTCCTCGACCGCGCCGACGACGACCACCGTAAGCACGGTGACCCGCCGCTGCACATGCTCTGGGCCAAGTTTGTCCGCGTTGCCAAAATGCTTCCGAGTCCGATGGTTGCGCAGTTCCTCCTCTTCTTTTGCTCGCTCACGCTCTTCCCGGGCGTCGGGTGCTCGTCGGCGCTTACGGACCCGCGCTACGCCGACGCGATGACGTGGTTCTGCTCGCCCGGCATCGTGGGCGCCTTCAACTTTGGCGACTTCTTTGGTCGCCTCGCGTGCACCAAGCAGGTGTATGCGGCCGTCTCGCTGCGCGCGTGCGTCGCGTGGTCCTTCTTGCGTTGGGCGTGGCTGCCGCTGCTCCTCCTCGGCATGGCCTCCAACTCGAGCGTCTACGCCTTTGGTTCGTACCCGCTTCTCGGTGTCTTTTGGCAAGTCGGCCTGAACTTTGGCCTTGGCTTCACCGGCGGCCTCTTCTCGACGCTGACGATGGGCTTGGCCCCGCGCCTCGTCGCGCAGGAAGACCGCGAGGCCGCGTCCGCGCTCATGGTCATGTGCCTCTTCCTCGGCCTCTCGTGCGGCTCGACGATGGGCTGGGCGCTCGAGAACAGCCACTGGCTCGGTCTGCTCTAGGACGCAGTCGTATACACAACTACATACAGTTAGGACGGCGTCCCTCCATGTGACGATACGTGGCTCTCGTGTCTTGACCGCGAGGCTCGTGTCGCAGCACCAGCGACCTTGTGCTAACGCACACAGCGGCGTGTATGTGTCGTCGGTGTGGCGGCGTCGCCGCCGGCAGTTCATCACGGCGGTGTAAAATTGGGTAAAATTGAAGTCGAGCTTGAAGTCGGGGCGGCCGGGACATGATAACACCGCCATCCGCGATCCTTCGACGAGATCGAGCGCGTTGCATGCAAGGATGATCGTGCATGCGCCGGCGACCGGTGAGGACGGCGAGGGACTCCGTGGGCGACTCGAGGCGGTCGTGACCCACGGAAGAATCACTGGCTGCCGTGCGCTCGAAAGAAAGGCCACATCGTATTCGTTGAGGCTCCCACAGCGTCGAGGGAAAAAGAAGAGAGGTCCCACTTTCGTGCGAGCGCAAAGAACGGCCTCCGTAACTGATGACACAACCTTGGCACCGACTGACGCGACTATACACGGCTTGCCTAGCAACCTCAATAGTAAATGTGGGACTGCTTGTGCTGCTGCTGATATTAGCCCCAGCGCTGCGTTTGAACCTCGTCTCTTCTGTGTCCTTGCGACGTCGAGAACGACAGCGAACACGAGCGGCGAAGCGCGGGGCACGGCCCACGTCATTCGCGACCAAGAAGAGGAGCATGACATCGAGGTGGCCCACATCTTTGGGCCGCCGCTTTGATTAACAATCAAGGCGCACGTCTGGGCTCATCAGGTAGGTGACTTCAACACGGCAACCTCGTCTTCAATCTTCTGGCGGCCTCTGCCTCCAGTCTGTTTGCGCCAAGCAGAGCAGAAGCGCGCCGGAACCACGAGATTTGTTGACTAGATACAAGTTACACATATGCGACATGTAAATCATCAGGTTTGGCTGCCAACTGGATCTCGACTGCAGACGTGAGCAGACCGGTCGCTCGTTGTGGCGGCCCACGTCAGCTAGTTCGCTCACAATCCAATTTGCCTCGGCCGCAGTACATTGAGTAGCATGACTGCGCCGTACCACGAAGCTGTCGACGTCAAGGAGAAGGACCTCGCGCTCGAGACCCAGGTCGGCGACAGTGAGATCCCGCAGCACGTCCTCGATGACATCAAGCTCCACAGCGCGACGATCTACTGGTCGCTCTTCTTCCTCGAAGGCTCAGTCATGTGGGCGTTCTACTCGTGCCTCTCGGCGCAGGACTACTATGCCAGCACGTTCCCCAACGTCCAGTTTGCCTTCTTGACGACCCCGATTCTGACGTGGCCGCTCTCGCTTGGTCACATCATCCAGATGTGGTTCGGCCTCGACCGCGCCCTCGGCAACATGAACCGCGTCTACATCGGCTACGGTCTCTTCGCTGCCTGCGGCATCTTCATCCTCGTCCAGGGCCAGCTCGGCCTCGAGGAGTTCACGGGCGCGACCCTCGTCTTGCTCTGCTTTGGTCTCGTCGGTGCGGCGCACTCGCTCACCGAACCCGCGTACTACAACGTCGCGTCGCTCTTTCCGGATGAGAAGTTTACGAACGCGATCCAGGTCGGCAACGTCGTCGCGGGCTGCATCAACGTCACGGCGGCGACGCTCATCCACTGGGCGGTCTCGGGCGCCAAGGACTCGGACGGCGGCGTCAAGCTCTCGTTCTACATCTTCATGTCGCTTCTCCTCGTTGTGTGCGTTGGTGCCGTCATCGTCTACTACCGCCTCGAGAAGATCCCGTGCGTGCGCTACCTCCTCGACCGCGCCGCCGCCGACCACAACAAGCACGGCAAAGTGTCGCTCCCGACGCTCTGGGCCAAGTTCTTCCGCGTCGCCAAGGTCATTGTGATGCCCATGATCGCGCAGTTCATGCTCTTCTTCTGCACGCTCACGCTTTTCCCGGGCTTTGGCATCTCGTCGGTCCTCAAGTTCAAGACGGTCATGTCGTCGTCGGGCGGCCCGTGGGTCATCTCGCCGGGTATCATTGCCCCCTTCAACTTTGGCGATCTCATTGGCCGTGTCCTCTCGACCAAGTCCGCGGTCAAGATGTTCTCGCTTCGCTTCTGCTTCTTCTTTTCGTTCTTCCGCTGGGTTTGGCTCCCGCTCTTGCTCCTCGGCACGGCCACCAACTCGCTCTACTCGTTCGGCGACTCCGAATGGAGCGCGTATGCGTTCCAGGTCGTCCTCTACGTCATCCTCGGTATCACGGGCGGTCTCTTCTCGACGATCACGATCGGCATGGGTCCGCTGCTCGTGCGACAGGAGGACCGTGAGGCCGCTGCGGCGCTCATGGTCATGTTCCTCTTCCTCGGCCTCTCGTGCGGCTCGACGTTCGGCTGGGTCATTGGTCACAACCACTGGTTTGGCTTGTAAATCGTCATCCGTCGCGTCCTAGTGTGTTTATGACAACAAACATTAAACCCTTGTCATAATTTATGCTTTTTCATTGGTACCCCTTGTCTTATCCTTGACAATAAGGCAAGTTGGAAGCGCTTTGCGGTTGCTGTGCGACTCGTACACCCAGTGTGTACCAGTCGCACAGCCACCATGATGCGCTTTTCCTTATATAGTTCTGTATGATTTCTTTTCCTTGTCCACAAAGAAAGTAGGCTAGCGTCATCCACTGGCACTTGCATGGGTTGCTGTGCCGGCCTGTCGAGCGTTGCCAGAGTTATATTACAACCCGCTGATGTCGACATGAGGCTACTCGCAGACACTGTGGGGCTGCCACTATAATAATAGACAGCGTCTATCAGCGCAGAGTCAGCTGAGTCCATCCAGCGCTTCTTCACGACTTCTTCTGCAGGACAGCATCGTCGTTTTGAAGTACGAGTACCGGGGTACATGTTGAGGGTACTTGTAGGCATCAAGAAGTTCGTTGGATGGCTTGAGCTTCGAGGATGAGGCTCAGATCAACGGTGACGCAAATAGAGTTAACTTGAGCATGATTCATTGCACTGTCGAACCACTGTTGTCGAACCACTGCTGCCGAATACCACTGCTCTGCAGAACAACACACGATCGAGTGATCTTGCGGTTGGCACATGGGTTTGACCTTGGCAACCCGGCAATTCATAATTTGCAAAACTGCATCGCTAGGACTACAATCATTAGC